ACGTACTCGACAATCTCAGACTCCCACTGTAGCTGAAACTGCGGATGTGAGTTGTTCATATGGCTGCGTGCCTCATTCCATGTGCTGACACGTTTTTCTACCTTTTTTTTAGTCAGTCAAAGGAGGTACTGTGCGCGCGCTTCAAGCCGTTCAAGAGAATAAACTCACGCTAACCCTCCAATTCTTCTCGAAGGTATTTTTCTCAAGAGGAGAGACGGCTGTCGAGTTCTTGAGAAGAGTAAGGATTGTTTTCGGTTCGAAGACCGACATGAGTGCAATGTGTGTACTTGGGGTGGCGGGGATGGAATGACAACGTGTTTTAGGGGTCGGGATTCTTTTACCTTAACTACTTCAACCACCACGCTGCCAATATTCAATTTTTTGTTAACTGTCGCACTGAATTGTTGCTTGATTTTATTTTCTAATTGGTGGGTTGAGAACATTTAATTTTCCTAGCTATCGTTCATTCAGGGAAGCAAATTCAAGCTAACAAGAGCTAGTACACAGTAATATACTCAATGACCCCACACTTGCATACTTTCTCGAAAACGGGTGCTGGCGCTGGCCAGACAAGCAAGATAAAACATACCGAGAAAGCTGTCACCGCCAACAGCAGCTCGGAGGCCAACACCAGGATTCCTCACATAGACCCTCAAATCCACACTGTGGATATCGCACAGTTCACGCAGTTCGGCTTCGAAGAGAAAGTGGCGAGACTTGCAAACCGCTCAGGCTTCCAGCCGGGCATGATCCGAGACGTGTACAAACACACGAGCACCTTCAAGCAGGCAGAAAACATTACCAAGGCCATGCGGGTCGCTGCTGTGAAGTGCGCTGCATCAAAAATTCGAAGGCGGGTGACACTGTATGGTGATGGTGAGTATGGTGATGGTGAGGACGGAGATGGAGAGGAGGAGGAGGAAGGGGAGGAAGAGGAGGAAGAGGAGGAAGAGGAGGAAGAAGTAGGAAACAAAAACGATGGGGACAAGAACGAGGACAAGGATGTCAAAGACGAGGACGAGTGAAATATGTAGAAAGAGTAAGTAGACATTTGTGTAAGAGTGATTGTGTAGGTGAGATGAAAGTAAGTAGACATTTGTGCGTGAGTGATTGTGTAGGTGATGAAAGGCAATGTAAGAAAGAAAGGTAGGTAGGGGGTGGTGATGTAAGAAAGAATTCGGTGGAGTAGACATTTGTGCGTGAGTGATTGTGTAGGTGGGATGAAAGAGTGATCGTGTAGGTGGGATGAAAGAGGTACAGTAGGTATATAAGTATATGTAGACATTTGTGAGTGAGTGATCGTGTAGGTGGGATGAAAGAGTGATCGTGTAGGTGGGATGAAAGAGGTACAGTAGGTATATAAGAAAGGGTAGACGAGTGAGAGAATAACGCACCATTGAACAATGCACCATGGTTGAGTGCGAGCGGATGTGTGAGGTGAGTGCGAGCGGTGAGAGGGATGTGCGAGCGGATGTGGGAGTGGTGAGTGGTAGGACGACGAGGACGACGGTCCAGAGCTGATAGGACGACAGTCCTAAGGAAGATAAGATGAATGTTAGTATCCAGTACAAGAATAGTATAGCCTACCACGATGTTTAGAGGTGGCATTTGAGCGAGAGAGGGACGTGCGAGCGGACGTGCGAGCGGATGTGGGAGTGGTGAGTGGTAGGACGACGAGGACGACGGTCCAGAGCTGGTAGGATGACAGTCCTAAGGAAGGTAAGATGATGTTAGTAGCATTCAGTACAAGAATAGTATAGCCTACCACGATGTTCAGAGGTGGCATTGACGCAACTGAGCGTCAGGCAACTGGAAACCAGGTTAGATTTGACTGTAATAAAATAAGATTTGATACGTGTTCTCACCGGTTAAAATTAAACGGGTGAGGAGTTAAATTAAGATAAGGACCAGGTCACGAACCACTTTGAATTCCATTGGGACAAAGTGATGGATCAGTGCGAGCAGTGATCATTCAAATGTTCAACGTTCAATATTAATCAACTGTGCCGGTATTATTGAACGCCTTAATTTAATTCTCATTGGGACTTTGTCTCACCTACTATGTATTTGATCGTCTTGACCGAAAGCCAGACCGAAAGCCAGTGGAAATACAGCAAACTCGGCGAACTGAAAGCACTGAAAAGTACCGGCAGAGGCTTCCCCCTGGGATGGTTTTGCGACTTCCGAAGGCCGACCCCTTCCAATTTCCTCGGCTCGCCTTCGGCGAGCCTCCCCTTCCCATGACCAATTTTTCCATCCTGGACGGTTGTATTGATAATCGATTGATTTTTGTGAAGCACGGGACGTTACCAAGTAGCTCGAACTTGAACACGTATTCTATCATGTTGGGAATCGGCTCGAGGGAAGGTAGTGCTTTGTATTTCAAGTATTTAGTACAAAGTTCCTGTGTTACAGCCCGAGTGGCCCTGGCAGCTAGGTATAGTACTGAGCGGCAAGATTTCCAATATTTCATGTCACCAGCCTTCAAATCCATCGCGTATCCAGAGTTAGACGTTGCCCATATTACATTCCTCTTCTGATCTCAATACGACGGTTCCAGTAGGGGATAAGTGACGGAAAATTGCTAGTACAACGGAACCGATCATTCATACCGACGAACTCTCAAAGGCACTCCAGTACCATCCTCTCCAGCAACCCGTGGACGGGGTAAAACTCCCCTCACAGTTTCGACTGGGGTATCTGGTCCATCCCGCATCTCAAACACGAAGTTCTTCACCAGGACCAATAGAACCGTCTGTATCACGATGAATAACATGCAAACTGGCTGATCCGCATCACTCACCTTGAATTCCACGATCGCAAAATCTTTTCCAAGACACGTCCTCGGGCCATCAACAAATGTCAGGAGATGCCTATGACCTTGGACTTCCTTGGCCTTCCCACCGATCCCGTCTTCAGTCAGCCAACGGTCAGGCTTGAATTCCTTTGCGTGAGGTCCCCAGATGGCCGAAGAGCGATTGATTTCCGCGATTGAGATCGTGATCAATGTCCCTTTCGCTATAGATATATTGTCTGTCATGTTGCCGGACGCCGTCCGCACAGGTTCGCTCAATGGAATGATGTCATCTGCCGCTGCCTGTGGACTTGAAGTTGTAGTGTCTATTCACATGTGGACATGCAGACTCACAAGACGAGTGGACTCCCCCGCTGGAGGATGAAGTCGTAGAGTTTCATGGACAACCGCATCCAGGTACGGGAGGTTGGCCTTTAATTGGTCATATGTCGGATCAGGGCCAAAGGCAAGCAGTTCCTCTCTGAGCCTGGTTTGGACATCAGGGTGTCGTGATAGCTCAATCAGCGCCCACTGATCAACACATGAATAAAGTGCGCAGAAGTAATTATGCAATAAACTCACCGTAAGACCGACTGTAGACGAAGGGTCAGCAAGTGTGATAGTGATAGCAGCGGGCAAGAAACTGACTCACTGGATGTTGTCTCATAACCCGCGAGAAGCAAGACCTTCATCTGCGGGATGTCAGCTCGCAAACCATGACTGTGGTGCATCGTTTCCACGGACCTGAGCCACTACTTCCTCCGCCGACATATGAAGCTCGGCATCCTGACCTTCAGATTTAACTGATCATCATATTAATAGAAAATTATGATCAATATTCCGAAAAGCATACTCAACAATCCGATGAGGGAATTCTCCTCGCCTCCCTGACTCATATTCGCGTCCTTCTCCCGGCGGCTGCGAATCAATAACTCGTTAGATATTTGTTCCATGGTTATGCCAAGTTGCGTGAACAGATTCTGCCGCTTGTTGGGGATCTTGAGAATGATAGGAAATACTGATGCAAGCAGGAAAACAGCTTTGTCTACTGCTGAAGGTTGGTTGCTTCCGATGGTATCAAACGCTTCGGCCACGCTGACGCGCCTTCCATCGAGCGAGCCAAAATCATGGGAGAAACCAGCAATGCCAACCGTGTCCAAACTGATGTTGCGTCAGTTCAAGGCGTCAATGACAAAATATCTTCGCGTACGATATATGGTTCATCCTTTGAATCGTTTCGATTAGGAACGACACTTGCTAAGTCAGAAAAGCTACGCACCAGTTCTGGACCTCGATGACCGCATCATCATCTTTGCTCGATTCTATAATAGTATCCCATTTTCCTTTGGCCTGTAAGGTATGGTATTAAGTTCAGAGATGAACACCACAAATCCTCACCTTGTATGCTGAGTCATAAAACACCGATGTGAGTTTCCTAATCGCCGCATTACTGAATGCTGGCGTGAGGGCCTTCCGCTGCCTAATTCGCAGGAAGTCAATTAGTTGCTTGCGGAAGGACAAGAGCTGAACAGCACCTCCTGTGGGTTTCTCCCTGGGACCATAGTAACCCTTTACCGATCTAACAAGAGATATAGAAAAAACGAGGTAAGATGATGATGTTTACATACTGATGACTCCAGAAACGCCAATGTAAGGGGTGTCTTCACATATGTCCATGTCTCTCGAGCGTAGAAATGTGCAATAGCTTTCGGATCACACAGCACGACGTTAGTCTGTCCGAGGACGCTCGGAATCATATACACTACCCCATATTCCGTCGCCCAATGTTCATACATTGCAGCTCTATCGTGAGATAAGGCGAGGTCGCGCGAAACGCCATATATGAGGCTGGTACGAGGCGGACCCAGCAGTTGAGTCGTCTTCACTCGCAAGCGAAGCATCCTTGACACTTTGACAAGGGCCCATAATGCAGCAAATGAACAAGCAATGTTAAATGCGCCACCCGAACGTACGGTTGTCCAGAGACTTGATGGAGAGGGTACAGGGATGGTAAATAGGTTCATCGTTATGTTTGATTCGAAGTGGGATCTAATTGGGAGGTCATGTATAGGTTGTCGTTTCTTATGGATGCTAATAACGCGTGGGCTATGGCTTCGTACAGGCACAGGACTGTGCCCGACTGCGCTTGGAGCCGGTGTTTTTCGTCATCAGGGAATATTAATATTCATAACCGAAACTGTGTCTGACTTAGAATAAAATTGTGAGCACTACTTAGACCTCAAGGCCTCAGTTAGTTGGGTGACTTCCCGTAGGCAAAAACAATGTAGAATATAATGTTATTTCACGTATTAGGATGTTGTGCCGCGATGCCGGGTGATATTTCATCACCATTTGAAATTCCTCCGCCCAATAAACCTTAAATCTGTGCCGGGTTTTGATACTTCGCGCTTCCCCGGTCAATGACTTCCAATCTAACGCAACGTGCAACCGTCATAATTAGGGGACTAATGATTGTTGACCAAAGCTCTCCAGCATGTTGCTGGCTGCAGTCCTCAACTCCTTCACAGCAATAGTGATCCCCTCTCCCTGCTCTAAACCTTGCATCTCCGCTCTCGCCAGGCGCCACTCCAGAGTTTCAAGAAAAATATCCACATTTGTGATGAGCTGCTCGAGATCAGATTTTGAAGCAATCTGCATATACTTCTTTGTGCCGTCCACAAGAACGAGGAGCTCGAAACACCGTGTGTTGCGAAAATCATCTGGGATATAGCTCCATGCGCTTCTCATCACATCCCAACACTGCTGCTCTGTAATAGAACCGAGCGATGTAACCGACATCTGTCCAGGTGCGATTCGAAGGAGGATACCAGCTATGTAAAAGGCATGCTGACTGATGTCGGAATTGCAATAGGTTGGAATCATGCTAATGCACCAATCTATATGGCGATCCCCAGACAAATGGGGGTACCAGTCCGAATTCTTTGCGAGGGCAAAGACAAGTTCGAGATAGCACAAGTCGTGGCCATGATTGAAAAAGGGATCAGGATCATCATTGGCGAGTGTTGTACCTCGGTGTGGACAAAGTATGGACAGGATAGTGGGGGAGAGCTTGGTCAAAACCATGTCCCGTAGCCTCGCATCATCAATGGCATGGATCGAGGCAATTTCTTCTCGCGCACCGTGAGCAGCACGAAGAGCGGCATGGCGCAAATAGGTAGGCATGTTACTGCCCATGCAGGAAATGAGCCTTTCGATGAACAAATGTCGTTTAGTGGGGCTGCAGCACACTCCCATAATACCCAGTAGCAAAAGGATGCCATATGCCGCTTCGTGGTCATTAGAATAAATGAAGTCCAAATGGTCCACCATCCGGTCGAAGTTTTCTGACGAGTAGGATACGTGTTCCCACGAAGACTGCTCATCCCACGCGTAGGCAGGGTCCCGAGAAATGTTGGCAGTGCCGAACGTGAAGTCCAGTACTGGTGTACCTCGCAGAGCTACCCACGAAACCAAGGCATCGTTTCGTTCAGATAACCTCGCTCGTGAATAAATCTTCCGGCACACATCCAGGTTCCGCATGGTTTAGGATAGAGGTTCGTACGAATGCCCAGCAAGCTCAAGGATGCGACAGATAATGTCGAGGAGGCTAAATGCCCGGTATGCAATTCCTGTGCTATATTTCTCGATCTCGCCTCCATCCCTGCCCAGAGAGCCTTTTGGAACTGCGTTAAAAGGGACTCCCTGAGACGAGGCAGAACAGAACTACATGATCTCTTTGTTAATCATAACAGAAAACTGTTAAATGAGTTGATAGCACCTTTTATCGATCCGAACTATGTCTTTCTTGGCAACCTGAGTCCCGACCATGACGCAAGCAAGAAGAGTGCAATTTGAAAGTGTCTGGTTTACAGGCTGAGTGGCAGGTGCCTAGGTACAGGTACTATGAGCGGACAAAATTCCTAATGATCTCAAGCAAAGTGATCAAATTGATATTTTATGTCAACCAGCGCAACCAATCATTCATACCGACGAACTCTCAAAGGCACTCCAGTACCATCCTCTCCAGCAACCCGTGGACGGAGTAAGATTCCCCTGACAATTTCGACGGGGGTATCTGGTCCATCCCGCAGCTCGAACACGAAGTTCTTCACCAAAACCGATAAAACCGCCTGTATCACAGTGAATAATGTCCGAAATTACTAACTCCCATCACTCACCTTGAATTCCATGATCGCAAAATCTTTTCCAAGACACGCCCTCGGGCCATCAACAAATGTCAGGAGATGCCTATGACCTTGGACTTCCTTGGCCTTCCCACTGATGCCGTCTTCAGTCAGCCAACGGTCAGGCTTGAATTCCTTTGCGTGAGGTCCCCAGATGGCCGCAGAGCGATTGATTGCCCCGATTGATATTGTGATCAACGTCCCTTTCGCTATAGATATACTATCCGTCATATTGCCGGACGCCATGCGCACAGGTTCGCTCAAGGGAATCACATCATCTGCCGCTGCCTGTAAACTTGAAGTTGTGGTGTCTATTCATATGTAGACATACACACTCACAAGACGAGCGGATTCTGGCACTGGAGGATGAAGTCGTAGGGTTTCATGCACAACTGCATCCAGGTACGGGAGGTGAGCCTTTAATTGGTCATATGTCGGATCAGGGCCAAAGGCAAGCAGTTCCTCTCTGAGCCTGGTTTGAACATCGGGGTGTCGTGATAGCTCAATCAGCGCCCACTGATCAATGCATGAATAAAGTGCGCAGAAGTAATTCAATAAACTCACCGTAAGACTGACTGTAGACGAAGAGTCAGCAAGTGTGATAGCAACGGACAAGACACTGACTCACTGGATGTCGTCTCATAACCCGCGAGAAGCAAAACCTTCATCTGCGGGATGTCAGCTCGCAAATCATGACTGTGATACATCGTCTCCACGGACCTGTGCCACTACTTCCTCCGCCGACATATGAAGTTCGGCATCCTGACCTTCAGATTTAACTGATCACCACATTAATCAAAAACTACGATCAATATTTCGGAAACATACTCAACAATCCGATGAGGGAATTCTCCTCGCCTCCCTGACTGATATTCGCGTCCTTCTCCCGGCGGCTGCGAATCAATAACTCGTTAGATATTTGTTCCATGGTTATGCCGAGTTTCTTGAACAGATTCTTCCGCTTGTTGGGGATAATCTTGAGAATGATAGGAAATACTGATGCAAGCAGGATAAAAGCTTTGTGCACTGCTGAAGGTTGGTTGCTTCCGAATGTATCAAACGCTTCGGCCACGCTGACGCGCTTTCCATCGAGGGAACCAAAATCATGGGAGAAACCAGCAATGCCAACCGTGTCCAAACTGATGTTCCATCAGTTCGAGCCGTTAATGATAAAATATCTGCGCGTACGATATACGATTCATCCTTTGAGTCGTTTCGATTAAGAATGGCACTTGCAAGTCAGAAAAGCTACGTACCAGTTCTGGACCTCGATTACAGCGTCGCCATCTTTGCTCGATTCAATGACAGTATCCCATTGTCCTTTGGCCTGCAACGTATCAAGTTCAGAGATGCTGCACTTTCCGCACTGCAAATCCTTACCTTGTATGCTGAGTCATAAAACACCGATGTGAGCTTTCGAATGGCCGCATTACTAAATGCTGGCGTGAGTGCCTTCCGCTGCCTAATTCACAGGCGGTAGGTAAGTCGCTTGCGCAAGGACAAGAGCTGAACAATACCTTCTGTGGGTTTCACCTTGAGCCCATAATAGCCCTTTGCCAACCTGAGAGGAGATATGAAACAGACGAGGTAAGATGATGATGTCAACATACTGATGACTCCAGAAACGCCAATGTAAGGGGTGTCTTCACATATGTCCATGTCTCTCGAGCATAGAAATGTGCAATAGCTTTCGGATCACACAGCACGACGTTAGTCTGCCCGAGGACGCTCGGAGTCATATATGCTACTCCATATTCCGTCGCCCAACGTTCATAGATTGCAGCTCTGTCGTGAGATGAGCCGATGTCGCGCGAAACACCATATACGAGGCTGGTACGAGGCGGGCCTAGCAGTTGAGTCGTCTTCACTCGCAAGCGAAGCATCCTTAACACTTTGACAAGGGCCCATAATGCAGCAAATGAACCAGCAACGTTAATTGCGCCACCCGAACGTACGGTTGTCCAGAAGCTTGATGGAGAGGGTACAGGGATGGTAAATAGGTTCATCGTTATGTTTGATTCGAAGTAGAATCTAATTGGGAGGTCATGTATAGGTTGTCGTTTCTTATGGATGCTGATAACGCGTGGGCTATGGCTTCGTACAGGCACAGGACTGTGCCCGACTGCGGTGTTTAGGCTTCGTCAGCAGGGATGGTTCATAACAGGCTAGCCGAAACCTGACTCAAGATAAGATTGTGAGCCAGTACCTGAGTGGGCGGGAGTGTTAATGATAGAATACCTGAGTGATGGTGCAAATATTGAGCAGGATCCTTGGAGCTTAAACTTGATACTATAAAACAACAGCTGAGCGCCATAACGCCAACTCCCAGACAAATACAACAAGCACGTTACGTCATTTGTCCTCCCATCAATCAATGGAAAGTGCAGATTCTTCAAGGCTGAATGAACTTCCGATATCGACGAGTTGGTGAGGGTGAAGACCCGCAATGTCGAGCTGATTGTCGGCCTGCGTCTCCTTGGTGCAGATAATATTGTCACCATTGTTCCTCCGTTCCTCTTTGATATTCCTGATGCCAGCGTACTCTACAGAGCATAACCGTATCCAGACACGACAGCTGCTGTATCGCTATTTTGTGCGTAGCGCTCCGATCATCCTCAGCTTTGTACTCATTATCCAGACGCTCGACATTGAGCTTGTGTTCTTGCAATCTCATCTAGATAACTTCGCGCTGCTCAATCCTGCTTCGATATTCTTTGCCGTATCTATTGAACTTCATGATTTTCAGTACAAAGCATGGCAGATGATGTCAAGAGATGACGACTCAGCGATCTTGCAGGAGGGTCTTTCTTGGCTCTTCTGATCAGTCAATGTATCTGAATAATCTGGCCATCAGTCTCCAAGCCAGACTCAAGCAACAGGGTGCTGAGTCTGTCTGACCTGGATGAGGCCATCGAGCTTTACAGAGTTGTACTTCCATTCCGTTCCCCTGGTCACCCTGGTCGATCCACGACTCTCAACAAACTTGCCATCAGCCTTCATGACAGATGGAGGCGGCGGCTCCCCGTCTGACCTGGATGAGGCCATCAAACTCCACGCTGCCACCCTAGCACTGTGTCCCCCTGGCCATATTCCTCAATTGGAGTATATCAACAACCTTGCCACCAGCCTTTGTGACCGATTTCAGCAGCACGGAACCCTGTCTAAACTGGAAGATGTCATCGAGCTCCACAGAGCTACACTCATATTCTGTCCACCTCACCATGCTCTTCGATCCAATTATATGAACAACCTTGCCGTCAGCCTTTGTGACAGATTTAGCCAGCAGGGCGCTCTGCCTGACTTGGACGAGGCCACCGAGTTCTACCGGGCAGCACTCGCACTGCGTCTCCCTGGCCATTCTCTGATTCATGTCTCAACGACTTTGCCAGCAGCCTTCCAACCGAATTCGTGGAATGTGCCGCCCCATCTGACCTGGACGAGGGAGGCCATTAAGCTCCATCTAGCTGCAGTCGCGCTCCATCCCCCTGACAATCCTAGGCGATTCGTATTTCTCTACCACCTTGACATCAACCCTGAAACCATGTTTGAGCAGTAGGGTAATTGGATGAGGCCTATAGGCTGTATATGCAGCTCTCAAAAATCTCATTCAGTCTCTCGCCGATGAGGTACACCCGATGAACAGATCAAACACCGTTTTGCCTTGCTTACCGTATTCGTTCACATATGACGCTTAGGTGGAGACTAATTCCCTGATCTTTTAAACATTTGCAGTGCCGAACTTATACTCTGTCGTGTCGGTATAAAGTATCATATAGTTTTCTTGAAACAAATTCAAGTGATTCTCGTAGTATCTATACCACAATACCAATCGCACATACTTCTGATTTGAATGCAAACCAAGGGTTTTGGTCGCGAATGAGTGGGGAAAAATATAGTAAAATCTGGTGCAGTGCAACCAATCATTCATACCGACGGATTCTCAAAGGCACTCCAGTACCATCCTCTCCAACAACCCGTGGACGAGGTAAAACCCCCCTCGCAACTTCGACTGGGGTATCTGGTCCATCCTGCATCTCAAACACGAAGTTCTTCACCAGAACCGATAAAACCGTCTGCATCACAGTGAATAACGCCCAAACCGGTTGATCCGCATCACTCACCTTGAACTCCATGATTGCAAAATCTTTTCCAAGACACGTCCTCGGGCCATCAATGAATGTCAGGAGATGCCTATGACCTTGGACTTCCTTGGCCTTCCCACTGATGCCGTCTTCAGTCAGCCAACGGTCAGGCTTGAACTCCTTTGCGTCAGGTCCCCAGATTGTCGAAGAGCGATTGATTGCCCCGATTGATATCGTGATCAATGTCCCTTTCGCTACAGATATACTATTTGTCATGTTGCCAGACGCCATGCGCACAGGTTCGCTCAAGGGAATGACGTCGTCCGCTGCTGCCTGCGGACTTAAAGTTGTCGTGTCTATTCACATGTAGACATGCACACTCACAAGACGAGTGATTTCCGGCACTGAAGGATGGAGTCGTAGAATTTCATGGACAATCGCATCCAAGTATGGAAGGTTGGCCTTTAATTGGTCATATGTCGGATCAGGGCCAAAGGCAAGTAGTTCCTCTCTGAGCCTGGTTTGGACATCGGGGTGTCGTGATAGCTCGATCAGCGCCCACTGATCATCACATTAATAGCGTGCAGACGCAATCGTGCAGTAAACTCACCGTAAGACTGACTGTAGATGGAGAATCAGCCAGTATGACAGCAGCGGGCAAGAAACCGACTCACTGGATGTTGTCTCATAACCCGCGAGAAGCAAGAGCCTCATCTGCGGGATGTGAGCTCGTAAATCATGGCTGTGATACATTGTCTTCACGGACCTGAGCTATTACTTCCTCCTCCGACATATGAAGCTCGGCATCCTGACCTTCGGATTTAACTGATCGCCGCGTCAATTAAGAGACTACGATGAATCTCTCAGAGAGCGTACTCAACAATCCGATGATAGAATTTTCCTGGCCTCCCTCGCCTATGCTGACATCCTTTTCCCGGCGGCTGCGAATCAACAATTCGTTAGATATTTGTCCCATGGTAACGCTAAGTTTCTTGAACAGATTTTGCCGCTTAGAGGGAATCTTGAGAATGATAGGAAATACTGATGCGAGTAGGATAAAAACTTCATTCACTGCTGAAGCCTTTTGGTTGCTTCCGAATGTATCAAACACTTCGGTCACGCTGGCGGGCTTTCCATCGAGCGCGCCAAAATCATGGGAGAAACCAGCAATGCCAACCGTATCCAGACTAATGTTCCGTCAGTTCGAGGCGTCAACGACAAAATATCTTCGCGTACGATATATGATTCATCCTTTGAATCGTTTCGATTAAGAATGGCACTTGCAAGTAAGAAAAGCTACGCACCAATTCTGGACCTCGATGACCGCATCGTCATCTTTACTCGATTCTATAACATTATCCCATTGTCCTTTGGCCTGTAAGGCATTATATCAAGTTCAGAGATGAGACATTTCTCGCACCACAAATCCTCACCTTGTATGCTGAATCATAAAACACCGATGTGAGCTTCCGAATGGCTGCATTACTGAATGCTGGCGTGAGGGCCTTCCGCTGCCTAATTCGCAGGAAGTCAATTAGTCGCTCGCACAAGGACAAGAGCTGAAAAGCACCTTCTGTGGGTTTCTCCATGAGACCATATCAACCCTTTACCAACCTGACAAGAGATATAAAAAAGACGAGGTAAGATGATGATGGCTACATACTGATGACTCCAGAAGCGCCAACGACAGGGGAGTATGCACATATGTCCGAGTCTCGCGAGCGTAGAAATGTGCAATAGCTCTTGGGTCACACAGAACAACTGTAGTCTGCCCGAGGACGCTCGGAATCATATACACTACTCCATATTCTGTCGTCCAACGTTCATACATTGCAGCACTATCTTGAGATATGGCGAGATCGCGCGAAACGCCATATACGAGGCTGGTACGAGGCGGACCCAGTAATTGAGTCGTCTTCATTCGCCAGCGAAGCATCCTCAGGACTTTGACAAGGGCCCATAATGCAGCAAATGAACAAGCGACGTTAAATGCGCCACCCAGATGTATGGTTGTCCAGAGACTTGATGGAGAGGGTACAGGGATGGTGAATATGTTCATCGTTATGTAGATTCGAAGTGGCATCTACTGGGAGATCATTTATAGGTTGCCATTTCTATGAATGCTGAGAACAGCGTGGGCCACGAAGTTGAACAGCTTGTACAGGCACATGACCATGCCCAACTGCGCTCGGAGCCGGGTTTTTCGTCAGCAGGGATTATTCACAAAAGCCGAAACCTCGGAATAAGATTATGAGCATTACTTGGACGTGAGTACCTGAATGATAGTATATGTGACACCATCGTGATGGTGCAAACATCGAGCGGAAGCCTATTCAGGCATGAAGCTTAAATTAAGCTTGAATGTACGTGATATTATGTGTGGACTATTAGCACACCTTCTCCGGAGAATAAGTAATCCTTTGTATTGTCGCTCGATCAAGATGAAGATGAGATAATTCAATATTGGTAATGATGGCGGGGGAGAGTAATATTGAATGCTGAGATGAGCGAACGTAGTAGAGAGACTACTGTGGGTAAGTGATGATGAGAGAACTAGAAACAAGGTAAGAGCTTTGAGAAACGAATCAGATTTTGTTGAGTATTGATTCGGTTTGTGTGTGGGAAGGTCTGGTTTTTGCTGGGTCCGGCGCAGGGGAGGCGCGGGTCTGGACCGAGCACGTGATCCGGAGAAAGCCGTAAGCGCGAACTTCTGGAAGATTGAGAAGAGACAGGAAAAATTGGTCATGGGAAGGGGAGGCTCGCCGAAGGCGAGCCGAGGAAATTGGAAGGGGTCGGCCTTCGGAAGTCGCAAAACCATCCCAGGGGGAAGCCTCTGCCGGTACTTTTCAGTGCTTTCAGTTCGCCGAGTTTGCTGTATTTCCACTGGCTTTCGGTCTGGCTTTCGGTCAAGACGATCAAATACATAGTAGGTGAGACAAAGTCCCAATGAGAATTAAATTAAGGCGTTCAATAATACCGGCACAGTTGATTAATATTGAACGTTGAACATTTGAATGATCACTGCTCGCACTGATCCATCACTTTGTCCCAATGGAATTCAAAGTGGTTCGTGACCTGGTCCTTATCTTAATTTAACTCCTCACCCGTTTAATTTTAACCGGTGAGAACACGTATCAAATCTTATTTTATTACAGTCAAATCTAACCTGGTTTCCAGTTGCCTGACGCTCAGTTGCGTCAATGCCACCTCTGAACATCGTGGTAGGCTATACTATTCTTGTACTGAATGCTACTAACATCATCTTACCTTCCTTAGGACTGTCATCCTACCAGCTCTGGACCGTCGTCCTCGTCGTCCTACCACTCACCACTCCCACATCCGCTCGCACGTCCGCTCGCACGTCCCTCTCTCGCTCAAATGCCACCTCTAAACATCGTGGTAGGCTATACTATTCTTGTACTGGATACTAACATTCATCTTATCTTCCTTAGGACTGTCGTCCTATCAGCTCTGGACCGTCGTCCTCGTCGTCCTACCACTCACCACTCCCACATCCGCTCGCACATCCCTCTCACCGCTCGCACTCACCTCACACATCCGCTCGCACTCAACCATGGTGCATTGTTCAATGGTGCGTTATTCTCTCACTCGTCTACCCTTTCTTATATACCTACTGTACCTCTTTCATCCCACCTACACGATCACTCTTTCATCCCACCTACACGATCACTCACTCACAAATGTCTACATATACTTATATACCTACTGTACCTCTTTCATCCCACCTACACGATCACTCTTTCATCCCACCTACACAATCACTCACGCACAAATGTCTACTCCACCGAATTCTTTCTTACATCACCACCCCCTACCTACCTTTCTTTCTTACATTGCCTTTCATCACCTACACAATCACTCACGCACAAATGTCTACTTACTTTCATCTCACCTACACAATCACTCTTACACAAATGTCTACTTACTCTTTCTACATATTTCACTCGTCCTCGTCTTTGACATCCTTGTCCTCGTTCTTGTCCCCATCGTTTTTGTTTCCTACTTCTTCCTCCTCTTCCTCCTCTTCCTCCTCTTCCTCCCCTTCCTCCTCCTCCTCTCCATCTCCGTCCTCACCATCACCATACTCACCATCACCATACAGTGTCACCCGCCTTCGAATTTTTGATGCAGCGCACTTCACAGCAGCGACCCGCATGGCCTTGGTAATGTTTTCTGCCTGCTTGAAGGTGCTCGTGTGTTTGTACACGTCTCGGATCATGCCCGGCTGGAAGCCTGAGCGGTTTGCAAGTCTCGCCACTTTCTCTTCGAAGCCGAACTGCGTGAACTGTGCGATATCCACAGTGTGGATTTGAGGGTCTATGTGAGGAATCCTGGTGTTGGCCTCCGAGCTGCTGTTGGCGGTGACAGCTTTCTCGGTATGTTTTATCTTGCTTGTCTGGCCAGCGCCAGCACCCGTTTTCGAGAAAGTATGCAAGTGTGGGGTCATTGAGTATATTACTGTGTACTAGCTCTTGTTAGCTTGAATTTGCTTCCCTGAATGAACGATAGCTAGGAAAATTAAATGTTCTCAACCCACCAATTAGAAAATAAAATCAAGCAACAATTCAGTGCGACAGTTAACAAAAAATTGAATATTGGCAGCGTGGTGGTTGAAGTAGTTAAGGTAAAAGAATCCCGACCCCTAAAACACGTTGTCATTCCATCCCCGCCACCCCAAGTACACACATTGCACTCATGTCGGTCTTCGAACCGAAAACAATCCTTACTCTTCTCAAGAACTCGACAGCCGTCTCTCCTCTTGAGAAAAATACCTTCGAGAAGAATTGGAGGGTTAGCGTGAGTTTATTCTCTTGAACGGCTTGAAGCGCGCGCACAGTACCTCCTTTGACTGACTAAAAAAAAGGTAGAAAAACGTGTCAGCACATGGAATGAGGCACGCAGCCATATGAACAACTCACATCCGCAGTTTCAGCTACAGTGGGAGTCTGAGATTGTCGAGTACGTCCAGTTTCTGTGGGAGAAGACGAGAAGACGGTCAAAGAAAGGCGAGACCAACAAGCTGGGAGTCAACGTACCGTTGCTTGGGCCTCGGTTTATACCTCCATCCTACCTGCATATCGAGAAGCGGTCAGGTGGTGGAGCCGTTGATCCGACGATACAGTACCTCAAGCCACTCAATATTGTGCACCCGTTCTACTACCCACAGCTTGCACGGTGTCCGAGATGCGGGTCTGACAAGGACACGACTTGGGAGGGATGGACGAGCAAAGGACCTCGAGAACTCCACGGTATACTCTGTGAAGAGATGGCTCTCGGTGCACAACTACGGTGCAACCGCTGCAAGGAGACGTCAAAGTCGAAGCCGAAGACCAGAAACAGCACCACTCACCGTTCAGACTTGGTGGACTCGAGCATCGAGGGCTATTGCTTCACGACGACCAGTGCCATGTATTGGAAGTCCTGGGAGCACTGGAGAATACCCCGTGAGTCTTGTGCACTGGCAGAAGACCTGTGTCAGTTGATCTGACGTATTCGGACCTCGGCAGGGGGCATACCGATCTTTTTCTACCGGTGTGCATTGACACGGGACTTGTTCGACCTGCTCGTCGAGTTACGGCCATCTTCGACATCTGCAGGTCTTGAAGAACGCATCCGACGTAAGTATCATGCTACATCATCGATGCAGCAGCTCAACGCACTTATAGAGCTGCATCTATTTGAATATAAGCGCCGAATGCTGGAATATCTCGAAGCAGTCAGCACTTACGAATCTTCAAACAGCTCAGACTCACGCACGCTTGGACTCGGACATTACTTTAACCATGGCGCCGCTGGTGGCATGACTGCAGGATCTGGGCTTCAAGCGTTCTCAGAACCAGATGACCAGCTCGGCTACGATAACAAGTCAATCTCACACGAGATAATAACCGAGGTCTTCGTTGATTTTTCGACTCGCACCAGGCAGAATGAGAGCGCGCTGTATTTGAAGTCACTATCTGGTAAGTACAAGACCAAATACACAAATAGACTTACACACTCACTGTTTGTTTGTCAGCAATATGCGGTTCTCTCGACAACACTTTCAAAGCGTCAAACAAGGCCACACTCACAAACAAGGACGGGCAAAAGACAAGGGAGATCAAGGGCGGGATACTCACTGTGCTGAATGAAAGCAACGAGATCATTGCTTGGGTGAGTACTTCCATCTGACTTTGAAAAAGTTGACGCTGATACGCCCTGTTTGCAAGCGTTTCTGTCAGACACGCGCGAATGCCGAGATCACGGAGCTGCTGCGTGGCCTCAAGCGGCGCCACGATGTCCTCAACCTCCCGCAACCAAAGATGATGGTCGCCGACAACTGCTGCCACATACACGGTGCGGTGGCTTCTGCCATGCCTGAGACAGAGGCTAAGCTGGATGTCTGGCATTTTAGTGCAAGGTATGTAACTTCACCATGAGCTATACTACTCTCGCTAACAGGAACCCTCACCAAACGAAGATACGTTGCTGCAATCTTGAACACCAGCAAGAGCCCATTCCGTAGTGCCATCGCTGCCGATATTTCGGGTGCGATCCTCAAGACACACGCAGAACGTGGACGTGGAGCAGAGTACTGGGATCGTGGTGAACAAGAGCGGCGCCTTGTTGCAGCTTTTGATAGATGGGCTGAAAAAGGTGTGTGGTCAGCAGCGGCTCAGAAGGTAAGTCTGCCTGCTTCATTAGGAGTGGAAATGGAGTCTCACAGCGTCATATTCTGCTAGGTACATCAAGAACAACTTAAACACGTCCGAAAAGGGTGCCTCGAGCGCTCAGATCAAGACATCCGGTCTGATGGCAGCCGCGTTGAGGGCACCCACAAGGGCTGGAACTCGTTGCAGCGTGCCCAACCGAGTGGGATCGTGATGCTGTCTGCGCTTGGTCACGACTTTGTCCTCCGTCGAAACATCAGGGTTGCTTCCAGTAGGCGTCAAATGACGCCCTTTGTCAAATTCACTCACGGCTCCCATCACATCCAGCTCTCTAACCACATAGCAAGACTCTACAACGGACTGTGCGAGAAGGACACGCGGCTGCTTCCTCTACTACCAGAACTCCCAGATGTGGACTCCGGCGAGACCTTTGGACTTGTAGCGTCAGATAATACGACTACATTTGGTGGTTTGCTCGTCAAGGAAGAGACTGCAGACGCCGAACTCACACTCACACATAACTTTGAAGTTTGCACAGATAGCTTTACTGGTGGGACTATAGATTTTGCGACCGAAGCCAGCCGCAGCATCATGATCGAAGACTGGCAGATTGATCTGGCGCTCCTTGACCAACCCGCTACACAGCCGCTGCTGCCACATGCTACCAAAGTCGTACCTGCCTCTCCAAGCAAACGCAAGGTCTCTTGTGTCTCCTTTGACGCCAATGATGAGTTGGACAGCGGCAATACTTCAAAACGACCACGGACTTTGGTTTCAGCCGGCACCAAGACACTCGATGGCTACTTTTCTTCTGGTCGCGTTGTAATGCGACCCAGAGAGCCCCACAGGCCTGTCACAGAGGTATGTTGTCATACCACCATCCTTGATCAATGGTACTAACGAAAACTTCCTCCCAAATTCTCACAGGGTCATCCAGCAGTCACCAGCGCTGGCATCAACAACTCAATCACACCCGACCAACGTTACACGCGAAAACTTCCTCCCAAATTCTTGGAGGATCGCCCAGTGATTCCTGGTGCTACTGCAAAGGTATGTCCCACCACACCCGACCAGTGTTACACGCGAAAACACCCTCCTGAATTCTCTCATAGGATTGCTTCAGCGCTGGCATTAGCAACGCAGTTACCCCCAGCGCTGGCATTAGCAACGCAGTCACAGAGGTATGTGCAATCACACCCGACCAGCGTTACACGCAAAAACTCCCTCCTGAATTCTCTCTATAGGATTGCCCCAGCGCTGGCATTAGCAACGCAGTCACAGAGGTATGTCCCACCACACCCGACCAGCGTTACACGCGAAAACTCCCTCCTGAATTCTCTCCATAGGATTGCCCCAGCGCTGGCATTAGCAACGCAGCTACAGAGGTATGTCCCACCACACCCGACCAGCGTTACACGCGAAAACTCCCTCCTGAATTCTCTCTCATAGGATTGCCCCAGCGCTGGCATCAGCAACGCAGTTACCCCCAGCGCTGGAGTTACCAGCGATCACCCAGTGATTCCTGGGGCTAATGCAGAGGTATGTCCCACCACACCCGACCAGCGTTACACGCGCAAACTCCCTCCTGAATTCTCGCAGGATTGCCAGGTGATTCCTGGGGTTACCACAGAGGTATGTCCCATCACACCCGACCAGCGTTACACGCGCAAACTCCCCTCCTCAATTCTCACAGGATCTCCCCAGCGCTGGCATCAACAACGCAATTACTCGGTCTCAGCACTTGTTCTCCATTGCTACAGGTATTGATCCTCGCTCACTGACCTTTCAAAATTCAGACGAGTTCTACCTGTTTATGAACATGCGGGCCGAGTTCAAATGGGTGTCATACCAAATGACTTCGAAGCGCTGGGTGCTGGCAACGGAGGAGTACAACCGTCGTCTCACACAGAAAGCTGGCCGGTCAGTCATTCAGAAGAACCCACAAGCCCTCCTACGTGCGCTGGGTGACATAGAGCCCAAACTGATGAACCGCATCATCAGAGGTGAATATACCTGTGAGTTATCGATATTTCTCTTGCATCACTCTGTATTTTCTGACATCTGGAATATGAACACACAGCAAAGAGGAACAACGAGACATTTTGGCGCCACCATTGTTCTGTTGTACCTCTTGTCAAGGAGGAGCGAGGGAAAAAGGTCAGTTCACTCAAGTACAACATTTCGTTTCATGCTGAAATTTTTGCTATTTAGCCCCGAAAGGCGCAGACATGCTCACGCTGCCAAACGATCATGTACCCTGGCCCCGAAAACTCGCCACTCAACCACAAGCGGGGCTACTGTGCTGATGGCGTCAAGCAGGTGTCAAAGAACAGCAGCGAAGATCTCCCTCCCTGGCCTCAGCCTCAAGGTCTGTTCTCCGAAGGCCGCACATTCCATCCGCACGCATTTTTGTTGGCTGTTCAGCGTGTCTATGAGTACGTTTCCTTGCAGGGACCGGGAGAGATGGACTTGCTTGAAATGGAGGCCTTCGCGAAGCTGCTCGTCTCACGCACTGAGATCCACCAGGATGGTGCAGTGCTTTTCCGGCTGTTTACAGACTTCATCGTGGACCCATCGACCCCTCGTGATCGCATCGTTGTCCGCGATGACAAGCAGTGGTTGAGGATCAATTTCCTGCAGCAGCTGTAGTTTCGTTCGAGATTGGTGTTTGCATTTTAATTCATTTCATGCCTTTGTCTTCTTACAGATCGTTTACGCACCTAATAGTTTACTTTGTTCAATCACAATCATCGCAAGGTCTTCGCGCTACGAATGGTACTGTCTATTGCTCGAATCTGCGCGTCCCAGTCCTCGTCCTTGAGCTGAAAACCTTCGTCTTAGAGGCAAAACCTTCGTCTTAGGGCAAAAACTCAACGTGTCACGTGACGACGAAAGTCACGTGCTTCTTGAAAGGTCCAAACGGTCTGGCGGAGTTGGAAAAACGGTCAGACCGTTTGGACCGTTTGTCAGCCTCCCCTTCCCATGGCGCAGCTGCCCCAGGATGTTGCAAAGTATTCACGTGACTATGGTATTGAGACAGGTAACTGCACATCGTACTGACAAGGTATGGAAGACAATAAGCACCGACATCAAGGCCAGCGTTCTTTCGCCCGAAATTAAAATGTATGCAAGTCCCGAGATAAAAGCTTGGAGCCGCATCCAGACACACACCATTAATGCGTAAGGAATTTCTCAGAGACCTACATGCTGGTGATCACCGAGGCCTAAGATATAAATATCGTGTTTAACTTGATACCGCGGACGGCACAAGCCATCGCCAGCTCACAAACTTCCTTCTGTTCAGTCGTGGTCGGAATCCAAGGCAACAAGGTCAATAACCCGGGCCCACAGTACATATCCAGCGACCGTAGGGAGGGCTGCCAACCCGACTCCAGCCGGGCCTGGACATTACGCGCGACAGCGTTGGAGAACGCGAATGTCTCCAATGATGATTGTAAATTGAGCAAAGGTTTGTTTTAAAACACTGCCCGTCGATGCGAAGGCTTCGCAGTCTCGGCAACCCAGATAGTGCTTTGATAGCATTCAAGTCGCTCCTTACTATCATATCAAACATCTGTTTGATGTGGAGCTTCTTCACAAAGTCTCCAATGACCTCGATCAAATGACACAAGCTTACGCCTACTTCCTGCACCTCCAAAGACTCGATGGTTTGAGAACTGGATGAGAATAGCCATTTGCACAGGCCGGGAGATAACTCTGTCTGAGATGTCGATATATTCGAAAGCTTGAAGGTAGGCGGCGAAAAAGAATGTCTGAGGCCATCGCCATCGCCATGACTCTGGTGCATCTCGAAGAACTCGAGATTGGATAGCTGAACTAAGAGAGGGGCCAGGAGTTGTAAGTCCTGCCCAGATACCCTGAGCCCCGTCAAAAATGGGTATTTGGGGGGAAGCCTCGTGCTGGCGAAGCGCCGGGAGCTATGATCTCCTGTCAGGTAGATCAGCTTCGGGCAGCGCACAACAATCGTTCCAGTGAGTTCTGCAAATTTCCTCAGCTGCATTTTATCAGGCCTGGGAGTTGAAAAACGAGGGCTGAAATGGAGAGCGCGAGCAGGGCAAATACCATCAAAGCGCTCGCTGAACACCGTGCGCAAAAGCAGGCGAAGAGATTTGGCCTGAGTCAGTGGGATACACCGATAAAGAATTTCCCCCGCGACCTCACACAAGGCTTTTGATACACGACAGCACCTGAGCAAGACATTCATCATTTCTCTGCAGGCGTTAGGGCAAGTCCATTGTGTCACTAGCGGTTGTAAGAACAAGATGCGAAACAGGATTTCGGCTGGTAAATGTGGCGAAGAAGCTATGGGATCCTGTACATCGACGAGTTTTGGCAAGTGAAAGTTTACCGCTCTTCAGCTTCATGATCTGTCCAGTGTCCACGCGGTCGACTGGAGAGGATTATTACAAGTACTATTGATATAATTAATAAATAACAGCTTGCAAGATTATTTGTAATCATAAATAATTTCACTCTCAACTTGCCTTTACTATTCGCCCATGGTGGCTCGCCAATTTATTGCTGAAACAGAGCGTCTCCCAGATCACGCCCATGTGTTGCTCATAACAACTGGCAGCGTAGCATCTATCAAAGCTCCTCTCATTGTCTCAGCGCTTCTTCAAGTCTGTCCCCGTCCTGGGAATCCTGCTCTTGCTCATGTTGTGTGCAACGTAGTATCAAAATGTCAGAGTAGAAGTGGTTGCGACCAAGGAGTCACTCGCATTTTATGACCCTGAAGATGTCGTCAATGCAGGCGCCCGCGTTTGGACCGATGAGGACGAGTGGTCGGTGAATACACGCGCTTTTCAGAAGAGCTTGGCCGCCTTAACGTCGATGACAGGGGTCATACAAGATTGGGGATCCGATCCTGCATATCGAGTTGAGGAGGTGGGCTGATATTGTGCTTGTCGCTCCCTGCTCGGCGAATACACTCTCAAAGATTGCACACGGACTCTGCGACAATCTCGCGGTATGTTTCCCAGCGTATTCATATCGTACTTGATGGCAAACCTCTTGCTTAGACCTCTCTGCTTCGCGCGTTGGCACCTACGACACCGACTTACGTATTCCCGGCGATGAATACGCTCATGTACGAGCATCCGCTCACGGCAGAACATTTACACGTCGTCCGGGATGTCGTGCGCTACCAAGTTGTCGGGCCAATCGGAAAAAATCTTGCGTGTGGGGACGTTGGTATGTGATCCCGGCTTTTATTTCTTGCTATTGTAGACAATCTGACTCTTTCTCGAAGGAGTCGGTGCTATGACGGAATGGCGTGATATCGTGAAGATAGTGGTGGATCAAATGAAACTCGTGCGCAAAGACAACAAATCATGAAACTATATTCTATGTCTAATGCTGGTCTAATCTATAAGTTTTCCTTCTTCCTCGCGAATACATGTATATGTGCTAGTCCACGAACGCTTTGTAGCCTCTGAAAATGCTCAGCGTCTGATGGAGTGTAGCCAAAGGCTCGTTCACTCACTGGGGGGTTGACAAACCATGCAGTCTCCCATTCCCTCTCCACCCACCTTCGTTTCACAAAACCATCTATTTCTCTTCCAGCGTTCCTCATCATCTCTTCGATCTCTGGACTGCCCCTGGGGCTGCGAACTAATTTGTCCATTGTGATCCCCCACTCCCCCAGGGCAGGCAAACATTCTGGTAGGGTGGACGGTGAGGGTGGAAGCTCGTCATTGCCTGTAAATCCACGCAGCCCATCTTGTTGAATCTGTGTATCGACTTCTGGTGGGATGAGATCTGGATGGAAGATAGGTACTCGCGACCAGATGAGTGTATGTTCGATCTCGATAGGGACGGAGTAAGGCCAGGAGTTCTGAATGATACTGATGAACTCCGAGTCGAACGGGATATCAGCTCTAAAATATTCGGGTGTGTCTGGGAGGGGCTGATTAGATTTGGATGGTGAGATGGATACGTCCTTGAGTCTGGTATCGCTATCGAGTGCCGAGGGTAAGAGCGAAAGGGTATCCGGCTTTCCCCATTGGAGACGATGGTTGATAAGGTAGTTCTCTTCAGACTGTTGAGCGAACTCTCAGGCTATATGCTGACTCTGCGTTACCCACCCATTGAGCCGTGCTCTTTTACGATCTCTGGAGACCACGCATCATATCTCTCTTGTAGCGCCTTGTCACGCTTTAGTAGCCCGAGATCCCTTTTATGACGTTGCACAGTCAGCGTCGTCTGTCTTGTTGATACTGGCGGTGAAATACAAGTACCCAGAATTCACGAAGGTCTTGAGCTGGTGCCATGTGAACTTGGCTGGATAGTACGCGAGCAATTCTTCCCTTGTCGGAGGACCTGTTCGCAGGGAAACTTGCATGATTTTTTGGTGGGAAACATTAATATTGTCTGGTGTATCTAAGGGCGGCTCTATAGTCATGGTCGAAATTGATGGGTAAATTTGTTTACCGTTGTCCGTGGGTTTTCCTTAGCTGCAGGCCCACTCATGAACATTTCCCATCACCTTGTCACGGTGTGAACCTTCCTGCCAAGTATCTAATGCTGACCCTGCGGTTCGTCGCCGTAATTACACCTTCGATTATGCTTAGTCAGTTTCAATCACTCCGGCACAATGGAATTCAGTACGCAGTGTGACTCTACTCCAGAACTGCGGCCCTGTTATATCTAGACTATCAAGCTGACGCGAAAGTCATGGGTGCCGGTGAGTTTCGTCAAAGCATTTCAGACATGCCGCTACCGCGGAATTGGCTATAAAATCGGATCTGATAAAACCTTGAATTCAAATCACTACAATGAAGGCCTCTATCGCTATGCCTGACTCTCCATCAAGCCTCTGGTCAACCGTCCGTTCGGTTGGCGCATTCAATGTCGCTTGCTCATTTGCAGCACTGTGGGCTTTCGTCAAAGTAATAAGGATACTTCGCTGGCGATTCAGGACCACTCAACTCCGTGGTCCACCTCGTACCAGCTTCATATATGGTGTTTCGAACGACCTCGTCTCATCTAAAGACAGTGCTACAATGTATGAACATTGGGCTCAGGAATATGGGGTAGCATACATGATTCCGTCAGTCCTCGGACAGACCAGGATCGTGCTAAGTGACCCAAGAGCCATCGCACATTTTTATGCTCGAGAGTCATGGACCTATGTACAGACGCCACTTTCTCTGACATTGATAGAGAACCTGGTATGTTAATGTCCTCTTCTCATATCGTCTATTGCATATCTCTTGGCAGGTTGGCAGGGGGGTACTATGGTCTCAGGGGGAGAGTCACAGGAGGTGGTGTCTATATCTTGTCCTCGCGCCAGAAACTGATCAACTAAAATAGGCAGCGGAAGGCCCTTACTCCGGCGTTTAGTAATGCAGCCATTCGAAAACTCACATCAGTATTTTATGATTCAGCATATAAAGTAAGGATTTGCAATTTAAGAAATTTGATACTAATCTGATCTTCAAACTAGGTAAAGAGTGCGTGGGATGCCGATCTACAATCGAGCAAAGATGGGAATGCTGTCATTGAAGTTCAAAACTGGTGCGTAGCTTTTGAGCATACATACCTCGCACTTCTCATCAGAACGACTTCAAGGATGAATCATGTTTCGTAAGGAATGGATATTTTCCATGCAATCTTCAAAAATGACGCAGTATCAGTTTGGATACGATTGGCATTGCTGGTTTCTCCCATGATTTTGGCTCACTCGACGGAAAGCATGCCAGCGTTACGGAAGTCTTTGATACTTTCGGAAGCAAGCCAAAGGTCTCAGCAATCAACAAAGTTCTTTTCCTGCTCGCGTCGGCGTTTCCTATTGTTACCAAGATTCCTAATAGCCGGGTCAAACTGACAAAGAAACTCAACGCCACCATGGGTGAAATATCCAATGACTTGTTGGTTCGCAGTCGCCGGGAGAAACAGGCAGAAGAAGAAAAATCCATCATCGGACTGCTGAGTACGCTCTCTAAGAGATTCATCGTGATTCCTTGACTGACGCAACGATCACAGTCAAAGCTGAAAATCAGGATGCCGAGCTCCGTATGTCCGAGGACGAAGTATTGGCTCAGGTATGTGAAGACAATTTATCACAGCCAATATTTGCAAGCTGATATCCTACAGATGAAGGTCTTACTTCTCGCGGGTTACGAAACGACGTCGAGTGAGTTGATCTCTTGTCCGCTGTCATTATACTAGCTGACTCTTCGCTGATAGTCAGTCTTACGGTAAGTCCAGTGTCCAATAACCTTTATGCACGCTATTCACGTAGTGACTAGTGGGCGTTGATCGAGTTGTCGCGACACCCCGATGTTCAAACCAGACTCAGAGAGGAACTGCTTACATTTGGTGCTGATCCGACATATGACCAATTAAAGGCCAACCTTCCATACTTGGATGCGGTTGTCCATGAGATTCTACGACTCCATCCTCCGGTAGTTGAGTTCAGTCGTGTTGTGAGTACACTTATCTGTCTGTCCATAGAGACTCTGAAAGTAGATCTACAGGCACGCGTAGATGACGTGATTCCCTTGAGTGAACCTGTGTGCACGGGGTCCGGGAAAATGACGGACAGTATATCTATAGCGAAGGGATCCTTGTTCGTCATCCCAATCGAGGCAATCAATCGCTCTTTGGCCATCTGGGGACCTCACGCAAAAGAATTCAAGCCTGACCGTTGGCTGACCGAGGATGGTATCAGTGGGAAGGCCAAGGAAGTCCAAGGTCATAGGCATATGCTGACCTTCGTCGACGGCCCGAGGACATGTCTTGGAAAAGATTTTGCGCTTGCAGAATTCAAGGTAAGTGATGCGAATCAGCTAGTTGGATATGACTCACTGCGATCCAGGCTGTTTTATCGGTTCTGGTGAAGAACTTTGTGTATGAAATGCGGGATGGACCAGATACTCAGGTCGAGATTGCGAGGGGAATTTTGCCTCGTCCACGGGTTGTTGGAGAGGACAGCATTGGAGTGCCTTTGAGAGTTCGTCGGTATGAATAATTGGCTGGACTGCACTGGCGGGTCCAGATATTTTGCGGCCTGAAATCTTTATTCAAGAAGGACATTATTCATGATGTGGACTTCGTATAGTTGTGTATCATGCTCAGGCGGTTAGAGTGCAAGATGAGGTTTGGTTTACTGCCATACACTGACAGTTGTAGAATTTTGTAAGGTAACGGTTTATGTAAATTAGTGATCTAGCTATTCTGCAGAACTCACACTATAGTCCTAACACAATAGGATCTTGGCAGGTATCATGATTATACAACAGTCATAAGCAATTGAACATGCTCTGGCAGGTTCTACTGAAATTTCTATCATCTGATAGCAATGACAATTCTGCCAGATCAATCAAAATCGTGCTCATAAGTATACGAAGGGTGATAGAAGCGAATCGCCGTCTCCCCCATCCTCGAGTCATAGACATCATTCGAGATCCCCAGAATATTACATATCACCTTGTACAGGGAACACGTTTCTCCATGCTCATCGCTGTTGTTGCTTCGACAGTATCTATGTCTGTCAGTGCATGTGGCACGCTGGCATCTAAGCCTAATATAATGTGAACTCTGTATAGCTGTGTACCAGATCGCAATCCTGGTGGTGAAATTCAGATCCAGAATCAATGAAGGGAAGTGGTGACACTGTAATGTAAACAGGATTCAAAGGTTGATATTAGGTCATGTTGTTTAAATCGTCCTTAGTTACATACCGGTATCATTCTTCTGGGGGAGCCAGTTCAACTGGATACCGCGAGCGACGCATGTGCTGTGTAACTCATCCCTATATTCTGCAGCCGTAGCGATCCACTGCTCGGAGAAGTAAATGCTCATTGGCATGCGATAAACGTCCAGCAATCGTAAGGAGGGTTGCCAATTCATACATAGCAGCACCAGCACAGTACGCATGCTTAATATGTCCTCAGAGAATGTGAATGTCTCCAATGACAATCGTAGATCAAGCAAACACTCTTTGTTGATTTTCGATCCATCGATGCGAAGTCTTCGCAAGCCCGCGAACGCAAATAATGCTGAGATAGTCTCAGAGTCACTGTCCGCTATAGAATCGACCATAATTTTGACGTGGACTTCCTTTACAAGACTTCCAATGACCTTGGCCAAGTGGCACAGGCTCATCCCTATTTCCTGCACCTCCAAGCATTTTATGCTCTTTAAACTTGATTCGAGCCATTTACACAGGCCAGGAGACAACTCTGTTTGAGATATCGATAAAGTCAAAAGCTTGAAGTGAGGTGGCGAAAAGTATTCCAGGAGATCGTCCCCATTGTGACTCTGAAGCATCTCAAAGGACTCGAGATTGCATAGACGCGATAAAAGAGGGGCGATGAGGTAGAGGTCCTGCCCAGATACTTTGAGCTCCCTCAAATATGGGTACTTGGGGAGAGGCATGTTGCTGGTGAAGTACAGGGAGCCAGTCTCCTGCAAGGTACCTGAGTTCCGGGCAGCACGCAACAATCTCCCCAGCAAGTGTCGCATACTCCTTGGACTACTTTTTGTTAAGCCGATGGGGCGAATAATACATGAATTGCAGAGTGTGAGCAGGGCAATAGCCGCCGAACCTCTCGCGCACGGTGCAAAGAAGTAGGCGAAGGGAGTTGACTCGAGACAGTCGAATATCCTGGTATAGAACTGCTCTTGCAGCCTCATACCAGGCCCTCGATACAAGACTGCAGTTGAGCAAGACATCCACTATCTTTTTCCAGACTTCTCTATCCTCGCACCGCTTCCATCTTGGTTGTAAAATCAGGGCTAGGATTTCTGCTGGCAGAAAAGATGAAAGTGAGGTAACGGGATGCCTGCTGCAAGGTTTGATGAGTGAAGAATTATCATTTCCCTCTCCGATTATGTTGTCCTCTGGACGACACCACAGTTAGCGAACGCCTCGAAGTTTCAAGGACCACTCACTCGTGTCAACGGAGGCGAAAAACGATCCAGACGCGTCTACTCCATCGTCGCTGCTCATAGTATGCGGGGTAGTAGTATGACTGTGTTTAAGAGCGGGTCAGTCACCCAGCTGATCAGTGGCACGGTGTGAGACTCTGCGATAAATTTAAAGAACTATACCCAGAGTGTGCGAAAAAACACGAAAGAGCTGTAGGACTCGCTGGCACGGGTTACGAATCTTATACCTAGACGTTGTGAACGAGCATATAATCGGGATTGCGCCAAGTCTGAAGTATACCCGGTACTCGGATGCAAAGCAAGACAAAGGAATCAAGTGATCCGAGGCGCTTTTATAGGCTGACTGACCGACGAACCAACAGGATGCGGAACGTACAACAATGATTGACTGCAGGCTCTCAGTAGTGCAAGCATTAGTAGTAGTAATACCTAGACCTGGCTACCACATGATTAACCATGTCCGCTGCAGACCCAGCTACCGTGACTCCGGCACAAGGATAGTCTTCCGCAGGCAAACCATGACAGGAGTAAAACAAAAATTCCTTTCGTATTTGATGGCAAATGTCGTTTAGTTGTGCTGTCACTTCCAGTGCGACTCGGAGTGGATGCGACTAAGTTGGCCGCCTTAGCTAAGCCTTTTACTGACAGTTTATTTACCAAAAGCCTTTGATCCAAACAAACCAACATTTTACATTATTAGACTTTCTCCCACTTTACGTGTACATACTACTGACATCCAATATGAGAACAGCCCGTGGAAGTGCCAGGGGCCGCGCGCGGGGGAAACCACATGTTCATGGAAGAGTGAACGCTTCTCTTCAAGTCAGAGATCCGAAACCCACGCCTAACATCCAAATGGAACACATTGCATCAGTTAGCCGGAGTAGCGGACTCGAGCAAGGCGGGGATGCGTGAGACTGAATCCCTCGACTCATTCTTAGAGCTTATCTTTATCAGGTGCTAGCTTGAAGGATTCTAAGGTGCAAGAACAGTACAGAGTGTTTGTGGGTGAGAAGGTGGGTGTGCACTGTGCTTGATGGCATTCGGGATGAGGCATCATGAAGATCACAGCTACACAAGTTCTGGGCGGAGAAGCAAACGAAGGATGGGCAGGAGAACATCTTAATTTTGTTTCGTTAGTCCCGCATTCTTTCTTGACCAAGAATCTATTCTAAACTTTACTCCACAGGAAAGCTTAGAGAAGGAATCTTCGCGTCCAAGCGGAGCGATGCCTTTGCAATCGGAGGTATGTTAACTTGATCTTGCATTAATTTTTTTATCGTTTATATATCCTGCAGTGTACGAAACCTCTCTTTGCCTCTCCTTGCTATTCGACTCCCCAATCCAGACATCTTCTATTCTCTCTCACCTCCTGCCCGAACTCTACACCTCTGCATCAATCCAGCCTCCAATCAGCTCGGTGCTGATATTGCTCCTTCACCACCTAATCGCAGGATATCCATCACAAAAGACCTACTTCGAACATCTTTCGTGCCTCTCGCCCAACGTGCTCGATAGGACATCAGAAGCATATTTATGGATATCAACTCTAGCGGCCAGCCTCCGCACCCTTAACCACATCAAGGTTGAAGCACTTTCACGGCACGATGCATACAAGCAGTTCCTTTCTGTTTCCAAATCATCTGACGAGACAGATGATGAGCTGGTCCGTCTATCACAAGATGCGGTGCACGCGCTGGTGGAACGGCTGAGAAGCAAAGCAAGGGATAAGGCGTGGGTGGTGCTGCGTAGTGCATACAGGGAGCTATCAGCTTCAGAAGAGACTCAGACTTGGATGGCCAAATGCTTACTGCTTTCAACCGAGCAGACGTCTGGATCAGGTCTTTCTTTACAGGAGTGGATGGATGGGCGATGCCGAGACGGTCACCTTCGGCCGAAGGAAGGGGCAGTAGGAAGATGGATTGTCTGCAAGGTCAGATGACCGCTACTGCTTATATTGATGTTCATCTAGTGTACGATAGAATGGTTATGATAACTTGTGACCTCAGAGTGTCCTAAGGACATTGGCGTACATGGCACAAACTCTTCCTCTCGTACCTGAATTTCAACCGAGACCCATGGGCGACTGGTTCTATAGCCTTATCGGAGGCTGGATTCTCCTCTGATGTTTATTCAACCTTCTTCTGCATCTTCTTCCTGAAGAACGAGCTGCTTTCGTGTGCTGCATGTGGTTCGTTTTGGGAATGCACCTACAACGTCTGGTCACATCCAGTAGTCTGCATTGTATGGGAAATGATTGAATAGTAAGCCTCGTCACTTTCTAGATCTGGAAGGAGGCTTCTGATACATCACAGTCTGGATGCATCGATGCAGTGGTCACCGTACATCAGCATAATGAAGAGGAAACGAACTCATCTGCCTGGGGTTCTCCTATTACCCCCAACAACCATTGTCAATTTAGAGAGTTGCTTCGCCCGGAAACGGACACAATCGTGGAGCTTGCATTCGTGCAAGAACGGTACAGTGTGTTGTGATAGGTGAGAAAGTGGGTCTAATACATCATGATTCTTCTTCCATATCAGCGTGCTGACGTGGCCTGGAATAGGCTGTATAGGCTTCCTTCGTTTACTCCATGACAGCCAACGTCAGGACTCCCTCATGTGCCTTTTGCGCCCATTCAAACCTGTTTTTGGTACTGCTTCGTGTTCCGCCGCCTCTCCTGCCTCACTGCCTCAGGTAAATTACGTAGCAACCTGGTATTTGTTTCCTACTCTCGGCGATCGCGAAGTACTGGGGTATTAAACGGTACCGATACTATCAAGCTCTTGGGCGCGGCTCCCGGCTTTGTCGACACTGGTTGTACCCGGCTTCTCTTTGCCACCAGTGGGCACGCACGTCCACTGTGATATTTGACCCTCACCGAGTGTGCAGAAGCCTTCCAGACGCACAAAGAGAATGATTCTGGTCCTTACGATGAGTGAGTTTAGTTTGATGAATCGCTGACTTCCTGTTGATCTATGTGGATTAGCACCATGGAGATACAATGCGAAAACCTCTAAAGTTTAAATCTCGAGATCGGCAGTGTGTAAAGTGACAGCTCTTGCATGACGAACCTTTGATTAAAATTTAATAGACCATCTAGCGAGTTTATCCGTAACGCTCAAATGTGGCAGCGTGAACTGAATACCCTTTAAGGTTGCTTTAAGGCAAGATTTATCTCGTTGTACAAAACCTTGGTACATCTGCATCAACATCCATGGGGAATTGATTGAACTCGTCCCAAACATGTTGCTGCATGGACCGCTTATGCTGGTACTGAGCGATTCACTAGACCTTCATGAAATTTGATTTTTGCTTGTCACTTTTCGATTAGTAGGACAAATGGGCATAGTCTCATTAAATTGTACACGAACTACGCGTAGGTGCGAAATGCTCATATTTAGTAGCCGCATACGAGGAGGTCATGTATTTGAGATCAGCTGAGTTCTAACGTACAAAGTTCCCTAGGCACAAGTGACTCTCGCTAGTGCGTGACCTATGGAAATCTTTGGCAAGTTCGCAGGAATGGATCATGTCTGGTGCCATGCACACGAACGTCCTTGAAGTATTCAGTTTGTAACCAGTACTTGAGCTTCGGTAGTCATGTACTGCCTCGGAATATCACATTAATGCGGTTAGTAGCGACTATAGTACTATACGTAGTAGGTGACGAACAGCGCCCAGTCAGGCTGGCAGGCCGCCGTGCCACTGCTTGTTGAACTGCCTCCGCTCTTCGTGTTATCATATACCTGGGACTACCACTTTTCTGCATTGTTAAATACCCTTAGCTATCGTGTCTGAAGCCAGGCACGGTACTACGACGAAAGTCCGTGGATAATTTCCAGCCATTCGTTTCGCATGTCACGGCCTCAGCCTTTACTCTCCTTCGAGGTAGATACCTCTGGACAAGACACTTCCCTCAAACACGACGGTTTTGATTCAGAGGTCCGGAGAACTTGGTATCATTACCTACCGCTATGTTGTACGTCCTTGCACTCCATGGTTTCTTTCGTTGACGCACTCAAAACATCTCCAGTGCTACTTTTCCTCATGGTAGCTCCCTATCCTTCGTTGCTCATTGTACTCGTAAACCACTATCTTTTCACATTAAACAAGCCCACCGCCTTCGTTGTTCATTTTTTGATCACTTTTACCCTCGAATTCCTCGCCTTTGCCTCCCTGATGGTTTGCGTAGTTCGTGATCCCGGTCCAGTATACATGGACGCTTCCGACCACGATCCTATCCATCAGCCTGAAGATATGGGCCTTGCAGAAGCTTTGATGTCCATGGAGAACACTGACGACGACTGTAGTCCTGACAAGTTTTGTCGGAAATGTTGGGTACCTAAACCGGAGCGTGCACACCATTGCAGCGTATGTGGCCGCTGTGTTTTGAAGATGGGTGAGTCTATACACTTCAGGCAAATACGCTACATGCTTACCATCCTAGATCATCATTGTCCTTGGCTCGGAGCTAAATGTATCGTAAGTGATAGAGTAAACCTGCGGTATGCCTTTATAAAGTCTCACTTGCAGGGACATAGAACATACCCAGCATTTGTTCACTTCTTGACTTGCATCACTGCCTTCTCCGCATACGTCGCTACTATATCTATATCTGCAGTCTGGTGGTCTTTCGATAACCCACTTCTGGTTCCGGTAAGGAGTTTTGGACGCACTTACTGAATTGATGAGAACTCATACATGACTGTCCACTGGCAGGACGAGTCTACCCCCGTTCATGAATTGTTACTCGCCGCTGCTGGCGTGATTTTTACTCTGGTTGTTGGTTCCTTCTTGGTATACCATGTTTACCTCATCACGTAAGTCAAACGTATGACTTTTATGCTCGTGCGCTAATCAAAAAGTAGCACTAATCAGACTACTGTTGAAGCTCTGTCACCATTCTTGTTATTGAGATATATCCCTCCGTTACCGGTGTCCATGAAGTTGTCTGAACCTCCAATGGAGGAAGAGCTATCATACAATCAACGTAGAGTGGTCCGTGATGCACATAGGTTCGTGCGCATGTACGACGTCGGATGGCGGAGAAACTGGGCGCAAGTTTTCGGATGGAGCAAGCCGCAAGGGTGGCTTTATCTTCTTCTCATTGGGGGCGCTGTGTGAGTCGTTTTTATGCACCACCTTTCTTGGGCAAACTCAACGAGTGGATCCATGCAGGAATGGTGATGGGCGGTCATTTCCACGCAATCCACGCTCACAAGACATGCTATCCCAGCTCGCGGCCCGCCTCGAGAAAGAAGCTTGAAATAGAATGAATTGTTGAGTGACTCGGTATATATCACATTATTAAGTATGTTGCGGAGATGTAAGCCCGTTGGTGTTGCCAGTTTGGCAGAACTAGTAGTAATTCTGCCTGGCAGATGGCAGAATCCGGCAGGATATCAAACTACGGTAGGGGAAATGATGTTTCCCAGTGACACCCATGCATTGTCATATCTATACATATAGTTGAAAATTTGCGTTGGGCCCGTAAAAATATTCCTGCCTCAAAGCGTGTTTCTGTATTTATGGACGAACTTCGGACAAGTCACACAATGTCACATCCGCCCGAAACAAGCTCCGCTCGGCATCCAGTATCAAGCACAAATTTGCTAATGGTGAGTGGTTCGGCAAACCTGAAACTCCGCTACGGCAGACTCGGCTTGATGATATTTGGATCTGTCACACCTAACATCATAATTTCAATTATTCAAGTTCGCAGTAGCTATGTACGATGATATGCGGTTAGACAGAACATGATTTGAAGCAGAGTTGAGTGAGATACTGCAGAGTGTCCGAACCAGTAGTTGACCGAAGTTGGCGGCTGTTGGCCGAGTCTACCCTTTCAAGTTCTTGCCATCACGATATCTACAACACGATGGAAGTCAAGGTCCCCTTTCAAACCTTTAGCTGAGGTGCGTCACTGCTCTATGTACTATTCTGTGCCTCACACCTTCCATTCGCAGCGTACCAGTAATGATAAGTTATATTTTCAAAACATGGAAATAAGTAATACGCCCGTGTACCATCGTGTAACATGTGCATGAATCTAGTTGAGGCATAAACGCTGGCCCTCCGAACTAATTTATAGGACTCTACATGTCGTCGCCTGCCTATTTAGCACGTTGGTGTTTGCCACAGTGCGGCATGCTACCCGAGTTGCGGATCAGTAGCTCAGCTATTTGACAAGTCAAATCATGAAGAAACTGGTATGTATGGTAGGTATGGCTACTCCATTCAATACGGATCCATCATCGCTGAACTTGAATCAGGTGTAATCAGATGGGGAAATGGTCCCAATGAAGCGCAAAGGTGCACAGTTTACCGTCTTTTATCACTCCATTGATTCACGAGCTTTTCTCATGTATACTCATACGATCTAGTGGTCAGTTGGAGCAAGGCGATGTCTTGCAAGCTGCTACCACTCTTTGATTTGGTCTCTAAGACAATTATTATATAACCAACGCAACTCACTCGAATCCCTGTATACATCATAGGCCTACGACTTATAAAGGGAATGTCTCGTGGAATCCCAGTCCTCCAGATCCCCAACGGTCACTTTCCACATCTTTTGCTCACCGCACAACACCATGAACACTCTTCAGATCGTCGATGTTCGATTCCATGATAAGTCCTCCGATGCTGCCAGTGACATCCAGTCGCAGGTTATCAAAGGATTAATGGCTGCCACGAATGAGAAGACCTTGCCCACCCTGATTCTATATGACGAGCGTGGCTTGAGGCTATACGACCATATCACTACTAAAGCACCAGAATATTATCTGTTCGGTGCGGAGGAGCAAATTCTCCAAGACTACGCGGGCCAAATTGTGGATGTCATGCACCAACATACTGGAGGTATTGTTTCGGAAGAGGTCGTACTTGAGCTCGGGGCTGGGTGAGTTTTGACTCTTTACTTTTTTTCTGCTGCCTCCTTCCGCCTGCCCGCTGCGGTCATAATAACTCGGCCTTAGTGCACATAACACTTTGAATATGTCATCAACACTCTCAGCGTTGGAACAACTGCTGACGATTTTTTTACTATAGCGCATTGCGCAAGACTTCCCACATTCTACATGCACTCACCAATCTCGTCCCTGTCGTCCCGTCTGTTGTACCCATCACATACTACGCGCTTGATCTTGAAGAATGTGAGCTCAAGCGCACTTTAATGGAACTTCACGAGTCTGCAGTTGGTTCTATGCTTGTCGGCAAGATAAAGGCGCAAGGCATGCTTGGAACATATAACTGCTGGACTCAAATTCATAGAAGAGGGTGGTCTTAAACAACCTAGCATTGCAGACGGCGCTTTGCCACTCTCGTTGGGGTCTTGCAAGCTCGACAGCACTCGCCGGGACTTCTCTCTGGCCTCGACAGGGATCTTCTTTCCCTGATTCGTCTGACACTGAGATAACATCTCCGTCTACACCAGGAAATATCCAGACCCCCTTACATTTGCTCTTCCTCGGCTCCTCGTTAGGCAACTTCAAACGTGGAGAAGATGCTGAGTTTCTGCGGGCGTTGCCATTGGAGTCCGGCAGGGATACCCTTCTTCTTGGCTTGGACCATGATAATGGTCGCAAGGAGATTGAGCTGGCATACAACGATCCTCAGGGTTACACTCGAGATTTTATTTTGAATGGGTTGAAGACCGCCGGGAGGGCACTCGGAGACGAGTCTATGTTCGCGGAACAAAACTGGGAATATGTGAACACCTACAACGAATCCAAACGTGAGTACCTCTTGTCAGTGCGAGTAAAGACCAATCCAGGTAGCCTGTTTGATTAGGTTGTCACGAAGCGTACTATAGGTGCACTCGTACGCATGACATTAACCCCCCGATGGCGCCCAGGCCTATTCAATTTTTGGAAGGTGAACTTGTCAACATGGAAATGTCGCACAAAGTACGTTGCATACTTCGAATGAGGTGGGGAATGACTCACGAGCAGCGAGCCTAGTATTCGGAACCTGACACATACACGCTGTTCACTGAGGGCAAACTGCGGCCCATCCAGCGATGGACGGATAACACGGGACGTTATTCACTTTGGCTTTTAGAACGTCCACCATTCGCATTTCCTTTACTAGACTCGCCATCGGTGGTGCCTGACCATACCACTAAGTTTGGTATACCCTCGATAGAAGACTGGAGCGACATGTGGACTGCTTGGGACTTCGTCACGCTGCGGATGATACCTCCTGCAATGCTATTCCAGAAGCCGATTGATTTGAGGCACATCTGTCTGTTTTATCTCGGTCACATTCCAACCTTTCTTGACATCCACTTATCTCGTCTTCTTGACGAACCTCATACTGAACCTCAGGAATTCAAGGTCAGTTCAGATTCGAAACAGGTAATCAGCGGCTCATATCTCATCTGCAGTACATTTTCGAGGTACAAAGTAATCGTATATCTGAGAATGGGTACAGCTAAATCTGATTGTAGAGAGGCATTGACCCCAATGTTGACGACCCGACCCAATGCAACCATGTTCGCCTTATTATTCTCGTTCGTTCATCTAGTCTAATCCCATCCTTAGCCTCATTCAGTGGTTCCCACAAAGGATGACGATTGGCCATCACTCCGTAGTATTCTGGCCTTCAGGAATCGTGTCAGAGAGCGCCTTAGGAAGGTTTATAGCGATATTGCTGAGGGCAAGGTCTCCTTGACTAGGAAGGTGGCTCGCGTCCTGTTCATGACGTTCGAGCACGAAGGTTTGCATATCGAGGTATTTGCCTATTTGGAACTTGGTTTGATATGCTGAGGTTGCCTCAAGACGCTCTTGTACATGCTAGTTCAGTGCGCAGGGACAGGAACGATTCCTCCACCCGACTTTTCTCCTCCCCACTGGGAGTTTCTTGCAGCGCAATGGAAAAGAGCACCCAAACCTGTTGTAGCAACCGTTGAAATAGGTCCTTCCACTGTCACGCTTGGCATTAACGACATTGAAGCAGAAGACACCGATCCTGCGAAACGTTGCGATGTCGCTGGTCATATCTTTGGGTGGGACAATGAAAGCCCAACTAGACAGGTCGAGGTCAAAGCATTCCGTATTGAGTGGCGGCCCGTGACGAATGGAGACTTTTACCAGTATTACAAGGGTGCTAGACAAGGCAAAGTTAAGTTCCCGCGAGTTGGGAGGATCGTAATGGAGAAACTTGTGTAAGTCGCACTCATCCTAGCTTCCGCGTTTAATCTCAACACACTGCAGGTGCGAACACTATATGGTCCAGTTCCCATAAAGATCGCCTGGGACTGGCCAATCCTTACTTGCTACGAGAATCTTTCAGTGTATGCGAGTGTCAAGGGCGGACGCATTCCGACTGAACCAGAATTGAGACTCTTCTTGACAAATTCTCCTTTGGGTATGAAGAGGGCGCCAACGTCGGATTTAGGAACTGGCATCCCGTCCCGTACGTATACTCTCCCGTGAATGATTAGACTACTAATCATTTCATATTAGGGCTACTACCGGCATAAGCAAGCATGGTGGGAAGGGACATAATGGAGGGGCGTGGGAATGGACTTCCACTATCTTTGACAAGTACGATGGCTTTGCAGCATCGACGTTGTATCCGGGGTAAGTACGGTAAGTTCTCGTATAAATAGCTGACCGACGTACTTCACTCAGGTATTCCGCCGATTTCTTCGATGAATCTCATAATGTGGTGGTATGTATCTTGCCCGAGTTATTTTCCACATTCTCTTATTACATTTATCAGATTGGAGGATCTTACGCGACAATTCCTCGTATTTCTGAAAGGAGGAGTGTACGCAACTGGTACCAACGGAATTACCCCTACTGTTGGACGAGCGCAAGAATCGCTTACGATGTGTGAAGTACGCAGGCCCCACGAATCCTGTTATGAATTCTTGGACACATTGACACCTGTAATACTAGCTATATGTACATTGTCCCATTGTCACAAATCCAATCAGGGCACTCCCTCGGTTTTCGTATCCAATACCTCCAAAAATGAAGCTGGCTCTGCTTCTTCATTAACCTTCACCAAAGTAGTTGCTACTTGCACATGCTCTCCCTCCTTGGTACGTTTATCATTCAAGTAATTTTGAGCATACTGCAGTGCAAGTCTTCGTCGGGGCCCTGGTACATTCTTCCCTAGCCAGGTGTAGACCGCCGGGAGTGCATGGTCGTCCAAGATATAGATACCATCAGACTGAAGTGAAGTTCTCTGTACAGCAACAGCAACGACCTGCCAGCCATCGACGTCTCCGTTCAGTCGGTATAATGCCGGGGGCTCGACCGGAGTCTCTAACGGTACGTCCAATACAGGAGAAGTGACTCCCGCTGCCGCAAGGAACTCTGCTTGGTCCGAAGTCCCCTCATCTGCACAGTTATCATTAATACGCACAGAACCACAGCTCAGCCGATTAACGCACTCACCAAACACTTGAAATTTAGCCTGAGGAACCCTCCATTGTCCCAAGTACATCATATATTCAGCTGCTTTGTACCTCGCCCAAGCGGTACTCTTCTTGGTGTTAAATTGCCAATAGAGTGGGCCTTTGTCGAGTACGTAGACGATCGCCTGGCGCATAACCAACCCCTCGAGAGGTATTTCGCGCACTATAAGCTGTTTCCCGTCCTCTGACCGTGTCTTGAGCACCTTACCACGCGTCGTGACCATTGTGTACATCTTCTTTGCATCTTCAGGCAACATGGTGAGGACGCTATGGAACCCCGTCGATACGCCCCCATGCAAGATCATGAAGTGGGGGAAATAGGATAAGTATCGAGGGGATTCGTAGTTTTGGATCTCGCGGTATTGTGTCACGTTGCCTCCGAGGTCTGATGGGTGCTCTGAGTATCCATTCATGCTCGGAGTGTATGATAGGATGACGTACGTTCCTCGAGTTCAGCAGCCTTGAATGCAGCTGTGGCAGCTTGATCCAGAGTCGTATCTTCTCCTTGCCAAAAATGCAGATCGTATCGGAGCGGGGTGTCCTTCTTGCCATCAGGCTGGTACGTCTGTATGGGGAGTTAGAACCTCTCATGTCCCAATCTCAGTCGTCGCCACTCACATGCAAAACAATATACGAATCGCCGTCATAGAAAGTCCCATATTTCTTCTCGTGTTCCACCCAGTCGCTACAATCAACAATCGCAAAGTTCTCTACCCTCCATATTTGAAAACCAGGTTTGATACCAGCTTTCGCCCAAGCTGATTCTTTGGCGCCAGCGTGTTGGCGGACGCGTCTTTCGAGCTGTATTGGCAATCAACTGTCAAAGCGTCAACAAAGCGGTCCTGAAACTCACATCGGAGCCTAAAAGTGCAATACTAACGTCGTACACAGGCATTATACGCAAAAATCGATGTTCACGATGGCGGTAGGGTTAGAGGGACGATGAACCAGATAGGGAACACAATACGCCACACGTGTCTACACAAAGCGCCGGAAAAGCTTTATCAGACTCTTCATCGCGGAATGGAAATAAGCTGTGGTAGAATAAGGCGCTTATCCATAGTGCACTGCCATCATCGCTTGAACCGAATTATAGGGAGCTATCAGAAAGAGAGGTATCAAAGACATCGATTATCGTCTCATCTTCATCTTCTGAATCTTCTGCTGAATCTTCTCCCCAACGTCTTATTGTAAACACATCTGCTTCACCCTCTGCTCTCAAAATACTATCCATGTCAAGTATCAGAAAAATGTCATGGTGAGACAATATTGGGACTTACTGATCAAAAAGTGAGATCGTCTCATCCTCCCCTTCATCATCCTCAACATCATCTTCATGCAGTGTCGGATGTGGCCCAAAAAGTGCTCGTAGAAACGTTCTTTGCGCCGCTAGATCTTGTGGTTGAAGCGTCCTCACAGTCGGTGAAGTAAAAAGGAGATTTTGAACAGCAGGCGACGAAGGCGTAGGGCTATGAAGTATGATTTGTCGTTCGACGCCCGAAGTCGCGATATGTAGCAAGGACGGATGAATCGCAACAGAATTCACGATTGATTTGTGCCCTTCAATTGACTGTCAGCAATAAAACCCCTAAACAGAAGATGATTACCATTCAGTCTCGCTAATGGCATCGATATTTCATAAGGCACGTATCTGCTCTCCCACTTGCCTTCCGCAAATGCTAGTACTTGCACGTCAGGCATCCCGTCCGGATATATGACTGTACACACTGACCTACAGTATCCGGCCATTCGCGGGCATACCAGTCATGAGGGGTGATCTCCTGTCTAAGCCCTTGCAAAGTCATCAAAGGAGGAATCCTCCATACATAAGCCCTGAAATCATCAGACCCAGCACCGTACATATCATCTTCATCCATGCCAGGACCACCGAAAGCGCCTGACTAGACGCAGTGAGCTGAGGTGCAATCTTGACGCGAAGAAACGAAGTGACATACTTTCATCGTACATGAATTGGTGTATGATCGTTGGGGCGGAGAGATAGAGGTTCCATCGGGAGTGTTGCGACCTGTGCATATAGCCAGGGGATGTGGATCTGACGTGGCGTATATCGTTGGGAAATAGTGCTAGAGCATGTTAAGAAAAACCTAAAATTGGAGGGGAAAACCTTACAAGGAACGTCACGGCTAATTTGCCTCCTAGAGAGAGTATGAAGCAGCACGACACAACTTGTGGTCCAAAACCCACCATCGCGATCAAAAGTCAAACTGCTGCTCTCCGGATTACTAAGATAACCCGCCGACTTTCTCGACAACTTCGCAGTGTTATACTATCACTCGTCTCATGAGTCAATCTATAGCAGCAGTACCAGAGACGAACATACCACTCTCACGATCCCACCATTCGACCGTCTCGACAACGGCCCAAACGTCATCCTCGTATCCCGGAGACAAACATGCCCATGCACGTCGCAAGTCGCAAAAACATGCTCCATAACAGGGTGATGTTGCACGCCTGTGAATGCAGCCGTATGTTGAAGCGTCCCCTGCGCCGCGCTCATTCTGCCTCCAGCACGGCTGTCGTGCAGTATGAGTTTTCCGTCTTCGCTGTGAGATGCCGATTTAGACTCGGATACGGGCGAGTTGGAATAGAACGTGCCTAGCGCTGAGAAATATCTCGTCTTCGTATGGATGGCATGTAAGCGCTCGGACGCTATCCTATGCTCCTTGACGTCATTCCGAGTCTCATAAAAAGTGAGTGGGTGCTTACATCGTGATCTCCGTACCGTTCAACGGAAGACAACCAACCCCTCTCACCAATACTAGTACTACCAACCTCCCGCAACGTCGAAACATCGTACTTCAAAATAACATCGTCCGCTCCTCCACTAAAACAACTGATCAACACTGTAACACAACACATGACATGATATGAATCCTTACCTATACAAATACTGATTCGTAGCTGAGAAATCAAGCGCCAGTACATTTCCCTATCCAACCATAAGCACCGATGACCAAACGATGGACCAAAAAAAACTCACCATAGGCCCAGCAAAAGCATGCCCTGGACAAAACACGTCCTCCTGACTGAAATCCCAAAGCAACACACGGCAATCGTCTCCAGCGCTTGCGAGCCATCTGCCATCGTGCCTCGAGAAGGCGAGGTAGTTGACGCATGATTTGTGGGCTGTTAGTTTCCTGTGAAGGGTAGGCGTTAGATGCTATTATGAATAGTATGTGATGAGCAGCAGGGTGGGCATGCACAATGCAATGCTTAAACTCAAGTTACGATAATGGATATTATGATATGAATGTGATGCGCGCGATGAGAAATGTGATACATACGCACGAAGGACACGCGCAGCACCTGCACCGTGTACACAGGGTATTCACACATCGAACCACGACGACACATACACATACCTGGAATACGAAAACCCACACTCATAAAACTTCCTCAACGCATCCTTCCTTGCAAGATGGATAGATCGTGAAGTTAACGATTCCGTCGGACAAAACTTGTTCAAGGTACGACGCATGTGCATGATGCGTGTGGTTGTTCCTGTTCCTGTGCGTGGTCTCGTCGTTTCATCAAATTCAGGCGCGTCGAGAATCGAAGAACCATCAATATTAAAATTATGAGATCTCGGGTGTTGCGGGGCGGACGGGGCGTTGGAGGTCAGCGTGATGTCGATGATGTGGTGGCACTGGTTCCGTGGATGCGATAAGCAGCTTACTAAACACAGTACTATTAAATATGCTTATAAGCGCTTAGCCCAGGCTGAACAGCTGTGCGATCGTGATGAATAACGAGAGCGAGCAGAAAGCATACAATGCTACATACACGATATCGACGAGGGGATGATACAACTACTATATAACAGTGCATTACGCACGTGCGTACTCGATAGATAGATAGAGAGATAGATAGCAACGGCACCGAGAGTGGGGGGGGGGGAGAGGATTACTCTAAAGGAATCGGAACCAAAGAGCGACAGAAATAAAAGGGAGGAAAGAAAATTACTCGAAAACACTAGCTAAGATACTTCCTACACGTCAAGATAACCTGATCCTAGCCTATGTACGCATCTATGTATAACACCCTCGCAAGGGTCTTTCTATGTGGGGTTTTGAAAACATGAGTGAAAAGAGAGGGGAATGATGAGAACAGGTAGGAAATAAGGTATTAAGAAGTGGATTGATGTTGGAGCAGTGGGCGTGAATAGATTGTTTGCAGAGGGGAATCAACCAACGCGACGAGCACGAACCAAAAAAAAAAAGAAGAGCAAACCAACCAAAAAAAAAACCAAAAGCAATAAGGGAGGAAGTACATCACCTCCCGGACCTCGTAGCAGCCTCGAACTCTTTGAAGCCCGGAAGCTCCACCTTCCTCCTATCACTACACGTGCTCATAAACGTCCCTTCATCATCACTACTGCTCTCATCCTCATCCATATCCATCGGAAGCCCCTCCCCATCACCCTCACCCTTCTCTCTATCACCCACACTCTCACTCGCACCTATATTCAGAGGCGGTAGAGTAATGGGCGGCGAATTGCTCCTCGAGGTAGGAACCGAACTCGACGCAAACACATTCGTCGTACTCCGAGCCTTGTTTTTCAGACCCAACCCCATACCCATACCCCCATTCATACCCAAATGATGCGAATTCGGCCAGCTCGTATTTCGTGGTGGGTGGCTAGCGTTAATGGGCGTCATTCCGAATGCCATCCGGACAGAATATGCGAGGTGGGGGTTCGTGTGGGGATGGGGGGGCGAATTGGGTCTTGAACCGCTCGGACTGGTAGTCATCGTACTGCTCTCGAACACTGGTTTAGAGCTGTACATCCCGCTCCCCACCAACGGATATGTAGAACTCCCAGGGCTGCTTCCACTACTACTCGGCCCACTTGAAAGTTGGGGCGTCGGGAGATTATGTAAGGCTCGCTCGGAAGCTTGGGCTTGTGCGGCAAGAGAGAGTTGACCGGGGTATGTTTTTACATGTGGAATCGGCTCGAATGAACCTGAACCTTGTTTTCGGGAAGCTGGGAAAAAGGTACCGCGGGTTGGGGGACTGCTGACGATGCTGGAGCGACGGGAACGTTGGCGGATAGGTTCGTCTATAGGGCTGATAGGCACATCCACAGGGGGTAGCGAGATGGGTGACGGGGCCCTTGATGGGTTGGTTGAATGAAGATTGAGGGTGCGAAGTGGGCCAAGGAATGGGCTTGTACTTGGTGTGAAGGTGAATTCTGTAGCTTTGATGCCGGAGGGTGGGGAGAACTCTGCAGGGCCGGGATATGTGGGACGAGATTGTGGATGTTGTGCGGCGTGAGTGTCGGAATCGGAACTCAAAGGAGAGGGGGAATCTTCGTGTGTTACGAGATGCCGATAAGCTGGGGGATGAAGGGTTGAGTTCAGGGTGCGGGGTTTGGGAGCTTCGGGGTATGACTGGAGTGCAGGGACAGAGCGGGGGTCTTGTGACATAGGAGTCATTTGCCAGGCAGGGCCGCTCATTCTTCTTTTTGCTCGCATAAATTTGTCTGAAGATCTGATGTCTTCGTCTTCGTTCCAATCACGGGTGCTTGAAACACCGAAATAGCCATCAGCTGCTGGGCCCTTTAAAGATATTGTTGAGTGGACGGGGGAATTGGAAGCGCTTTTTGATGTACATCCGCGGAAGTAGATTGCCTCGGCGTTCCGGGCTTCATACTCTGCACGGCGAAGGGCCTCTGCATGCCGAGCCTCGTATTCTGCGCGACGGAGAGCCTCTTCTCGTTCGAGTGCGTAAAGCTCATCCATTGCTAGACTGGATAGAGTTGAAAAAGCGGAAGGGTTTGATGAAACTGGGACATGAGTTTGTGAGCGTCTTGGGTGAGAAGGCTCATAAGAGGCAAGTGAAGTTGGACGGGCATATGATTCACCCTAGAATCAGAGGGTTATTTTTATTGGATGAAGGAGAGAAATGGAAGATACCTCATCGTCACTATTTGCTCTACTTCTAGCCTTCTTCTTTACTCTGATAGAAGTTCCTTGAGGGTCCGAGCGAGGCAAGGAATGTAGGTTGATGCCTGGACCGGTGTGATCATCTATGATTGAGATATCTTGTTTTGCCTTTTGTTTACCTTTGGTATTTGAAGCACCAGACAAAGAATTATCGTTGTTGTGAATGCGTGAATGTCTTGTGAGTTCGTCTGAGCGAGAGAAACGTTTCTCGCAAGATGGAAAAGTGCAGACAAAGGGTTTTTCGCCTGTATGAGTGCGAATGTGACGAGTCTATAAGATGTCGATCATATGAGATCAGCACGTTGTCTGTAGAGAATAATAAATAAAAAAAGGAATGATAGGTTTACCTGGTGTTCTAGTCTACTGAAAGCACGACCGCATAGAGGATAAGGACATTTGTAGGGACGAGGAGCGACTTTATCGTTGGATGGAGGTGGCGGTAGTTGAGTCTCCATTGTGGTTAGGATGAAGAAGGAATGAAAAAATGAGGCAGAGTATAAGTAGGCGCTAGAGTATGTAATATGGGGGGTCGCTCGGAGTCCGGGGTAGAGAGAGGCGTGTATTCAACGTGCAAGGGTCCAACGTGGAAACGGTAAAATAAAATAAATTATAAACTTTTTATTATATAATAATATACCCCGCCTTATCGTTATCTTACCCCGATATTATTCTAAGAAAATTGAATACCATGTCCCTCCCCGACTACACCGCATCAACCCCAACCTCCCCCCTCTCTCATCCGCCGACCCTTTATCGCTTTGCCACGTGCTTATAAGCATACCCCCTTCCCTTTGCCGAGATCACGCGCCTTCAGTTCGTTTCCTTCTTGCTTGTATCGTTGTCGTATTGACATGATCCACCTGCACAACATCTCAAATTCATCCCAGCAAAGTTCCCGATTATTTACCGCGCAAACAGCGAACAATGTGCTAGAACATCTTTCGGTCCCTTCAATGTAAGCCGACGATGATCTCACACTTTGGTAACATTGACAACAACTCCACGGCTCCCCCCTCTCGGCATTCATCCAAAGAACACGGCGCATCATTCCCAGGCTTCGAGGGTCTAGATTCTATCCCCGCGCAGAGCGAAATGAACGAATGAGCATCTCGGATCCCTCAAAGTATTCGGAGATTCCAAACTCCGGTTCAGTCAACGTTGACGACAACTCACCTACGTAAAGCTCACTCGCCTAGCAAAGACCTCCATGATGCAATGGGCCGCTAGGTTGTGCGAAAATACGGCATCTACAATTCTCCACATGGCTCCCCCCACATGCCGAACGCCCCTCTCAAAGGAGGCGTACACTCAACTCAAACTGTTTCATCGACAACGTTGACAACCACGCATGTGGGAAAATATGGGACTATCCCCTCATCCGCCCTTGCTCAAATTCCTCACAGTAGAAATCTCCACGCAAAGAGCATAATGTGCTATTAGCCCATCATCCGGGCATCCAGATTGTATTTCATAGTATCGTACGGTATGACACTCATTGAGTCATTATCCAGACGGAAATGAACTTGCACCCCTCAAACCAGTTCTACAGCGCAACATTAATGATGACACCACGGATTCTGGGAAAATACGGGATGTACGACTCCCGAAAGGCTCCCTCACGTGGCAAAAGTTTCTCCTCATTGCCGGAAGGCTTTCCTCGTATGCCTCAACATTCCACACCGACATACTTAGAATCTACGCGTCTGGGAGTTTACGCGTTTCGCTTAGCCCACACGCGCTTCCTTTCACACCTTATCCGCTTCATGTATCAGAACGTCAGACTCGGAGTGACAGTGAGAGTAAGTCATGTGCTGTGAGTCATATTTTGTGTGCTATATACTGTATGCTGTGTTCTGTTCTTTTCTATTGGGTTGTTGACGAGAAGGCGTTGGTAGGAGACAACGGATGTGTGAACATGTGAGCAAGTTGTGATCTACTTTGAAGGAGGAATTTGACATTAATATTGATGGGCTAGAACAAGAACCAGAATCACGTCAACGAGGATGCTTCATACCATCTGGAGAAACGTTATTGCAAACTTTGGCCTATTTAGTATTTGGTAATGGCCCGCTTTTGAAGTTCCGAGCATCCAGATGCCTAAAATCTCGACCGTACTATGCGAGCCTCGGACAAGCTATGTAGGCTGCTACTGTTTCCAACAGCACTGTAAAACCTATGGTTACAGTCATGCTCACAGCCCCGCCGCCATGCGCATTCCAGAGATTTCATAAAGCCACAGTGCCAGCAACTGCGACGGCTTCTCGTCATGTCATGATCCGCGCGATGAGGGAAATGAAGCGTCTTGGATCCCTCGATGGAGATGGGGACACGGATCTACAGTGCCACATTGACGACCACACGAACGGTAACGGGAACGTCCAGGAAGGATACCCACGTACCGAAAGCTTCCCCTGGTCCCTGTCCGCGCCAAGAGGAAAATGAAGCCGTCTCGGAGTAATCAATGGAGAATCGACCACACAAAGACAAACGGGAAAGTTCGGGAGGGACCTCTCGACTCCCGTTTATGCGGAGAGAAACGAAAATAAATTGGGGCCTTCAAGGAGAATTGGTAACGTCATAATGCATATCGGAAAATGGGATGTACTATAACCCACCGAACAGCGAAAGCTTCCCCCATATGCTACGTTATGTTACATCACAGGATGCCTCTGGAAGTCAAACACGCACGTTCTGTGGCATGAAGCGCTTCATCATGCTGGCCTTATTTCCTTCATGTTCGTTGTTTAGACGACGAACATACATTCATGATACCCATGATTCCGAGGGAGTTGTCCGTCGCAATGTGTGATGTCATGATCATCATTGAAATGCGCATGCGTGCTGGAAGGAACGATCTCGTGTTCTATCTCGTCCTACTACATGCGGGAGACTGCTTGTTAGCTATTCACTAATCCATGCTGACTTGCTTTGTCCCGGTCCTCGTTTTTTCATGCTTCTCCGAACGCTTTTGTGATTTCGGAGCCGACAGTAGGGGTGCAAGGTTAATGTGAATGTTATCTTGCCACAGCACAGTCCGGAAGTTGACGAATGTCATGTGCACATGGGCGCCGCAAACTCGAAAATTTCTAATCAACACATGTTCGTGGAGCCTGAGTGAAAATGTTCACATAATAAACACAACCCTGCCTCAGGCCAAGTACTAGTGCCACAAGACCAAAGCCTATGTAGGAAATGCGAGTGACCGGGCGTGCTTCGCCGAAACCTAGTAGGTCAAAACTTTCAATTTGCACCGCCGAAAAAAACCTGTGTAAACAATTGTCAGATCTCAGAAGACTCTAGCTCGGGCTCATTGCGGTGCCATGGGGTGAAGCGGCATCTCCCTTAACTTAAGTTCAAACTTCAAGTTCTCCCTGCCCCTGCCAGGCCCTTATCTACCCCAAACTTCTGTCGGTGGGCGTAGGTTTGAAGTCCGATCAGGCTTCAGATGGCGTAGATCTAGGTCCAGAATGTGTCTGGGCATAAGTTAACTCAAGTATGGTCACTTGAATCTGAGTTCTGAGCCCGGGGTCGAGTCGAGCCTCACCGCGGCAGCGCCCGCACCGTTTTCGCAAACTAGATGCCATCATGATTAACATCGGTACCATGCGTACCGCAACGTCCCCAAATCCCTGTCCGTCCGACTCTTTCCAAAAGGGCTTTTAATATAAGTATGCTAATACTAATTAGTGCCAGTGGGTGGTAGGTATCCTCATATACACGTATGCGTAGATCCCGAATTTCTGGGTATGACCCTAGCACGGGTGTCGATGATAGATTCTGCCCATCGATATGAAATAGCCGTGTCACGTCATGTTTTCGATTTTTGATTCATGATGTCGATACAACCGGTTTCGAGGTAGGAGAGGGATGGGACGGGATACGGTCCTGGACGGGCCGGCCGTATCATAGCTATCGTTCAATTTTGGTGCGGGGTTCTTTGGGAATGGGCACAGCGCACGGAAGAGGCAGTCGTCTTACTCATGAAAGGCAAGGCGTAGAACACTGCACCCTGGAAAACGTCCAGAAGGCAAGCATTATGTATGTGCCGCGCGCAGTACTTGCTTCCAACACCCCATACGCAGCACCAACACCACAGTCGTGGAGCCAGTAGCTTGAAATGAAGAAGATTCCATCAGATCTCCCTGTAGATCTTGGTGCGTGGTCTTATCATGCATGCCCACAATATGACTCCGTGTCAATAAAATGACTGGATAGAACTGAATCGGGGATTCAGAAAACAGCGACCGCCTGTCGGATGCAATTTTAAAAAGCGATAAGGACAAGGATGGCGTCGACATCAATGCATATGACGATTGCGATTATGAATGCAGTATAGTAATTTTTCATGTGATTACGATTATGACTTGATCGTGTAATCCAGAATCCAGACCCCAGAATAGTCTGAATAGATCAACGTCGTCTAGTTCTGGTAGTCTGGAATTTCGATGTCTCGCGACGTAACCGCCTGCCCAGGTTAGCATAATTGGGTAGATAGCACGTGAAGAGCAAGACACGTACCTGCTAGCTCTTTCTTTTTCGATTTCTCGTCTCTCTACTTCTTCTGCTGTGAGCACCTCGAACCGTGTTCGGAATTCTTCTGCTTCTGTCCATTCGCGCCATACGCTTTGGAGAACTTTCGGGCCTTTTGTACGGCCCCAGCCTAGGCCCAGCCCAGTTTTATCTTTCATGCCTTCGGTTTCTTTGTCGCCGCCGATGACGCCCCATTCGATAGCGTCTTTCTTGTGCTTTATGAGTTCTTCATGGATCGCATGGGCTATGAGCGGCAGCGCTTCTCCAGACAACCCTAGCTCGGTACAGAGCTGCGAGGCAAATGCTTCAGGCATCAGAGGCGAAAGCAAGTCCCACTCTATATGATCGAGTAAATGATACGTCGCTATCTGCACGTCGATCTGTAAATGTCAATGAGGTAACTAAATTCGACATCATCACCAGGAGAACAAGCGCACACTTAAAATAACACGACACTCGGGAACTTCTTCGCCCGCTTCAACTGCAACATGTGGATCCAAAGATAAGTCGATAGCATTGTCTACACCTATATCCATGGAAGCGACGCCTTCGTGGTCTTCAATCTGGGCACGAATTTGATTTGCGACTGTTTCTGCCCATGGGACGGTGGGGAGGTCGAGGTCCGCGCAGAATACCTTGGCAAATGATTCAGGTTTTATCAGGGTCTCGTTCAAGTTCCAGACGAAGCAGTCCCGTATTCGAAGGGTGTCTGTTTCGAATTCAACACGGATAGGGACTAGAGAGGCGCGCGTTTGTGCTTGTACTTCAAGTAAGTCAGGCGCACTGGAGCATGTGTGTGTACAATGAGGATACTATAGTAGTAGCAGCAGTGGTACGCACGGATATTCATGTGCAGTTGGAGCGACAGGTTTTGCTTTTATAAAGCGGCTTGGAGGAATCATACCTAAATAGCTCTGATCCAGCTCTCCCTTGTCGTTCTGCATGGGTGTAGGGCGCCGTTGTGGTTGTGGCTGGGGCGTGGACATGCCACTACCTGAGTGAAAAACGGACATGCCAGTTCCCATTCTCCGGGTCCTCAAAGTTGTCCTCACACCTCCATTACCGACAAAATCAGAGTCATCGGATTCGATAGCACCAGCATCCGGGAATTCGTCCCCTGAGCCTGGCTCTGCGTAGTTGATCATACCGCCACGACGGGTGGAGGCTCTTGTGTTTCCGGCTGCTGCAGAAGGCTGAGTGAGTACGGGTTGGACGAGGAGGGTCGTTCCTGTGCGTAGGCGGGATGGGTAGGTGGAGTGGAGAGCTTGTGAGACAACAGGAAGTGGATGGCGGGGTGGATTTGGTGGGGAAGGAGGAGGGACTTGTACAGGTGCTACCGGTTGAGGAGGTGGTTGGTATACTGGAGTAGCGACGATCTGTTGTGTCAGAACCGGTTGCGCAGTACTAGTCTTTGCAGTGCGATGACGAGCACGGGTGCTAGTCTTGTTCGGATTGGTTGTCGACCAAGTGTGAACATTTTTAAGGTAAGCTGAAACGAGTTTGTTCAGTGAGGAGTGTATGAGTTGATGGAATCAACCTTTGGATGTTGATTGTTGAGGTGCGGGTGATACATAGTGCTGGAACTGGTTTGTAGGATTATTGGCTGCATTTGAGAGCTGCGTGATAGTTTGTCGCAATTGTAAATCTGTTAAGTTCGTCATATTCGTCGGGTAAGCCGTCGAGGATGCGTCGGTCATCTTAGCAGTTGACCGAACCGTTGTTGAGCAGTAGTAGAGATTTTAATTGGCTGACTAATATTATGCTACTGATGTAACTCAGGCACTACGTAATAATATACATTATACAATTTTTTGGGCATCTACCGCATACCATGACAGCCGCAGGAACTGCCAAAACTCCATACAAGATGAGATTTATACAAATATTATGAAATAGTGTACTGTAACCAGTTGCAACATGTTGCACTCGAAGATGATCAGTTTCAAGAAAGAAGCACAGTACTAATATGGTAACTCACATCTCAACACTGTCCTCTCCCAATCCAGCAAGTTTTGATTGGGCATCATATTCCTATCATCCTGTGAATATGTAGGATGGGATAAGACCATGACCCTGTTTAAATCTGCAGTGTATTCATTACTGATGATATAGCACTGAAATAGCTGGTGTGTAGGCTGGTGACCAGTTGATGTGTGCTTTATCTTGCTACAGTTTTTGCCTACATAGATTCTGGACCTTCATGCAGTAGGATATAATCTGGCTCACCAGTTACTTGCAACTCACTTCACTTCCCTTGCTACAAGTCATAGTTAGTAGAATCACTTTTGGATTTTAGTACTTCGTGCAATCAATATTTTATTCATTTGGAATGATTGTTTGGCCTGACTGCTGCCATTTTGCTTATTGATATCCCTAAGTCTTTCAACAGACTTCACATAGTTATACTACACAAGTTCTATACTTCAACAAACCGCCATATTCATTCAACAGAGACCTTGTTGTTTCACCAGAAGCTCACCAGAAGCTTCGCACGACCTTGGACCTTCATTTCTTGATGTTGGACCTTGACTGGACACATCACACTGACACTTCAGACACTTCTTCAGAACTCTGAATGTACTTGAGGTATCTTTTACTTCTCTCATCTTCGATCTTAACAAGATATCCCTTGCATTTTATATCAAGAGATAATAGGGAGAGTCAGAGTTGGCAATTTTGACACGATTCAGCGTTGGTTCCAAAAGATGATCCAGCATCAAGTTTTTTCACGGATGAATCGTGTGAAACATGAATCAGAGGTGAATCACTGGAACGCCTCTGGAGGCGTTCCACCTCTTGAATCACAGGTTTCGACCTTGATAAAAGATGTATTTTATTTGAGTGATAAATTAATTATAAACAAAAATATTTTATACATCCTGCTTGTCGCAGTCCTTCACAAATCTCTTCGACGTCTGCTATGGCAAAAAAAGATGCAAAGCTACCCCTGGCAAAGCCCTGAAGCCTTCAAAGGCCAAATCGACCCCAAGAAAAGCAAAGGTCAAGATGAGTGAGTCCGAAGATAACAGTGAACCCCTGGTAGATGAGAAGACAGACATTGAGTATGTACCTAAGACTTTTTGCAACCTTGGCCGTCTTGTGCTTATCAGAGTACAGCTGGACACCAGAACTCAGTGCGAAACTTCTATCTGCCATCACAGATGACCCTGATATCAAACAAGGCCTATTCCCCTCACCTGGAGCGAATCCAAGAACAGGTGGAAAGACAAAAGCAGCCTACCATTTAGTGCCGTGTGTCATACTGTTCGAAGAAGATGCAGAGTACAAGTTACCATTCTCGCAAGCTGTGACTCCAAAACAGAAACAGACCTGGGCTAACAAGATAAAAAACTGAATACAGAGGTGAGAATTGATGCCTGGTCTTACAAACTTACCTCATGGCCATGCAGAATGTCCGAGATTACACAAAAATACATGGAGGAGATGGATGAGACGGGTGCCGGCATAACTCGTGAAGATGAAATCAACATGAATGTCAAAAATGTGTTCACAACTAAATGGGGTACGTACTTTGAAAATTCAGCTTCCTACCAGTGCTAGGGTTAATTCTTGACTCCAGAAATCATCAAGGAGGTGTGCCCTTGGTTTTTTGAGATGCGTGAGCTCATTGCAGAGCACCCAAACCAGGTTCCTGTCCCCTTCGAGCTCTGGCTTAGTGTAAACGTAAACCACTGACTGGACCCTGCAAGACCCTCACTCGATAAGCAACCAAATTTTCATTGTCGGAGTCAGAGTCTGAAGAAAGCCTTTCAGCTATGAAGGGATCTTCATCATCATCAGAGTTGTTCCTCTCATGTTCATCGGCCTCCCACTGCATTGCAAAAGCATGCAGTCCAATACAAGCTGCTACCCAGTATGTTGTGAACTGATGAGACTTCTTGTCTTTAATTTGAACCCGAAGGCCCTTGAGTGAGTGAAATCGACCCTTGAGAAAGCCAATGGCATGCTCTGAACGTATCCGTACCATTGAGACATGGTTGTTGAACACATCATTCTCAGGAAGGTCTCGTTCAGGTTTTTTATAGGGCGCTATGACCCATGTCTGTAGCTGATTGCTTCGTTAGCACAGTGACAGATGTGAACACGAGTTGCTCACAGGATATGCAGAATCGGCCCAAACAAATTCCTCATCGTCAAGGAGGGTCTCGTGCTCCTGACAAAGATGTGTATCGTCCCATGCTGTTGAATTGTGAGTGCTGCCAGTATGTCCATAGCTAAAGTCGATGATATGAAGGTTGGGTAGTGAGACGATCTAAGTATGTGAGAATACAATTTTCAAAATTGAATTCACATTAGCAACGCACCTGTATGTTGAGGGAGTAATTGCACTTTCGATTGAAATAACTTTCACCATACCAATAGGGCCGATCATACAGTGGGATAAGTGTGCCATCGATGAGGCACCAGCCATCATGCCATGCCTTGCAGGAGTGCTTTTCGACCCATGTTTTTGCCTCTTCTTTCTCTTCTAGAGTAGGAAAATGTACTGCCTTGTCCATAAATGAACGATGCAGGATTGCTGTCATTACTCACTTTGTATTTAGCAAGACAGTTCCATGACCTCCAGCTGCCCACTGTGCGACCTGTGACTGGCTAGCTGCGTTACCATTGTGTCGAAACCTATAGAGGGTGATTGCCAATTGCTCTTTGACTGGCTGCTGTGGGTTGTTTGAGTTATTGAAGAACACCGTATCATCCTTTATCTTTTCAATGATTTTGTCGAATGTGTCTGGATTGACCCGCAGGATTTCCCGAAACTCATCAGGCTGTTCGACTTTAAGGACTTCGAGGATATGTGGTAGCTGAGAGGGGGCTTTCGGGATAGGCTTGTTGCATGCAGCATCATAATGACGAGCATATATGGCCCGGTATGTGCACTTGACATATTGTGATAGCCTTGAGTTAGCATGTTCAGCCTCGTCATCAGCATCATCACTCAAATCCCAATCAGACTCGGACTTGGAGTCATCGCTGCTTGACATATTGGCAGCAGAGCTTTCAGTAGAGGTATCATCGTCTGAACTCTTCGACAGTGTACTTTCCGAGTCTGAGCCTGACAAACTTTCCCCAGAGCTAACTGGGATACTGTCCAACTCCATGTCAGATGGCTGTGAAGAGCTTTCTGAGCGTGAAGATGGAAGATGAGGAGACTCGCTAGCATATCCAGCAGCTTGTAAAGCATGCCGACTGCGGGCAGTGCATCGGTGAGCATGTTTGAGTTTATTAATGTGATACTTGATGAAGTTCCTCAGCAGGTTCTGGGTGTGTTTTTGACGTGGAGTGAAGTGGGGCATGATGCAGTATGGTGTCTGCTCTGACAGTGAATTATTTATAATTATAATTGATCAGTGCATCATATCAGAATCGTACATCAGAATCTCGAAGTGAAATGGGGGTAGTCAAAGCTGGTGCTGATTCACAGTTTTGAATCAGTGTTAGAATCAGCGAAAATCGTAAATTTGAATCATGGCAAAATCGCCAACTCTGACTCTCCCTAATCCTACAGGCAGTCTCCTTGGGATGAACATCTCACTCGCACATTGAGTCTTAAGGTACCACCTTTTGTATAGCCCACCAGGAATCAACTCTTTACACCATGAGGTTGCCATATGCTCCTGGCTGAGGGCCAAAGACCAAAACACATGCAAGTGTCAATACAGAATTGATCTTCTGAGATCCGAACAACAGACCCTGGCCACTGCGATGAGTGAATTGAATGGTGCAGTAAGCTTCAGAGACATCTCTGATGGTAATCTGTGAGCCTGGTGGCAATCAGTTGATAGTAAGTGCGAGAACATGAAATGTTCCCCAGGTACTGGGAAAATTATCGGGATTGATATATGAATTGATGGATGCATTTGGAAACTTCACCAAAGGAATGTGAGAAAAAGAGTAATTCTGAATGATATAATATTGTCCTGGGTGACCCAGCTTTGGAATAATAGAGAATGGGGACATTTGGAATGATCCAACAAGACTTTCAACTTCCTTAAAACTAAGTGGGCCAATGTATCTTTCTTTCTGAAGTTTGGTTTGCACAATAGATGGAAACTCTTGTTGATATATAGTCACATAATTCAGTACTTTATTTCCGACTTAGACGGACAGCCAAAGGTTGAGAATCTTCCCAGTTAGACAGGCCATCCTAGGTCGGCCCATATGCAGATAGGGCGGGTGGGCCAGCCATGAAGGCAATCCTCGGTGGCGATGGGTGGGCCAACATTATGCAGTATTATTTGTAGGCTGGGGTAATGGTCAATAGACCAGTGGGCCAGCCATGGAAGGACCGGAGATAGAGTGGGCCAGCCAGCCATGAAGGCAATCCTCGGTAGTGACGGGTGGGCCAACATCATACAGTATAATTATGAATTGTTTGTAGGCTGGGGTAATAGTCAATAGACCAGTGGGCCAGCCATGGAAGGACCGGGAGGGATACAGAAGAAGCATGCATTAATATATTGGGCCAGGATGTGTGCTGCTGGGGTACCGGTGTAGAGACTGATATCTCTGTGGCCTTGCAGAGGCTATATATGCGACCTGTCTCAGAGTACAGTTTGATGCACAACTTGTGCCAATACCTTTCCAATCATTCCCTATGCGAAGCGAAACTCTCCCGCGCCAAGCACGCACTACCTTCCCGTGCATCGGCTGCCCCAAGCGCAGCATTCTCGCGCGCGCATTAGGCGCACTTTCCCGCGCTCGAAGCACCCTACGTCGCACATCCATCCATTGTCCAAATTAACCTCACTGGTACGTGTTCATATCATTTTCTCCATATCAGACCATATTCTATTTTAATGATTGCTCAATTCTCATGTCATGGACCCTTATTACATACCTTACCTACTCGCTTCAGCCCCACTTCAGGGGCGCATTTTTAGACATATATAAGCGCCTGTAGTTCATATTTTACATCATTGAATCATATAGAAGCTCCCTGCACCTCACTATCAGTGTAATAGCTCATCCATCACATGCCATAGTCAGTATCTATTGGCAATAAGAACATCCTTAATGTCTATTACGAACCTCTGCTTGTAAACCCACCTTGCGCTTTTCCCGCGCTTCGCGCCACTCAAGCACTACCTTCCCGCGCATCGGCCGCCCTCAGCGCTTTGTTCTCACGCTCGCGCCTCTGGTGCTTTCCCGCGCTCTACGTTGGCCGACGAATGGCACCCCTTTGCACCAACTCCTAGATCTCTGCTGCACTTGCTTCCCCTTTAGGGTCGAACACACTTGTCACTACAAGCATAGCAGCTTAGGCAAGCAGACCCAACACATAGTTCAGAATACCACCATCTGAATAGTTGTTTCTACACCGGCTGGGCCCAAAAGTATTCTTGGACAGGGAATGACAGCCCCTTATACCTGGTACAGGCGGATGGGCCCAGATATGGACCCAACCATTCCAAGGCCTCATCAATGATGGTTGGGTTGACATACCTGAGACCAGCAGATGTGCAGGCAGTTGTACCTGGTCTTGGTGGATGGGCCCAGATGTGAACATGACCATCCCCAAGGGTCCTCATCAACTTTGTATCTGAGACTGGCTGACAGGCACATCCTCCGTTAATTATGGGTAGGCTGGTATCTGAGCCCGGTGGACGGCACCAGACCAATGCTGTGAATACCGGATTCACATAGGTATGGTGTCCCAGACATATTGCACATCTGAACAGTTGCATTCCCTTGTGTGTGCAATCATGTTGGTCGCACATCTGGTCCTTGATGGCGGATCTTCCGGATACAGACATCAATGCCAGTTTGGATGCTCCGGCCGACACAACATCACTTTGTATTGACTTGCATGTGCAGTCAGTTGGTTCAGCTACTGAATTTATACCACAACAGAGATCCAGTATCATTCGGACATGACTCAGATCAACTTATCTGATATGATAGATAAGATGTGATCGAATCAGTCCACCGAATGGGAGTGGCTGGAGCATCTGCACCCCGAGCAGCCGGTGCAGATTATTAATCCCAACTTCAACACCAACACTGGTGGTTGGGCTGAGGTGTGAGGTCCATAGAGATGAGTGGGCCCAAAATGTGTGACATGGGCCAGGTGGATTTGCGAAAATTGTAATGGATGGGCCCAGCTTGTAGGCATGCTCGGGAAAAAGGGCAACAGATGGGCCCAAAATGTGCGACCAGGTGGGCTTGCAATGCCCAAGGATAGGCCCAGCAGATTGCATGTAATCTTGAAAATCGTGATGGATGGGCCCACCATGGATTTGATCTCAGAAAAGG